GTTGGATGTTCAGGAGTGGTGGAATTTGAATTTGAAGATCTCTCATGCCGGCAGCTCGGGACACTACTGTTGAACTTGCCTACAGCCGGATTCTTCCCCCACGGATGAGATTCCCTACATGCAGTATTATTATCACCTGAGCAGCCTTGGGGCCATTTTCATTTATCATTACTGTACTATAGTACATATAGACAATTAGGCAGGCGAGCAGGCACAGCAAGCCGGCTTAGAGACCCATCCCATCGGAAAGCAAGCGTCCGTAGTTTGTGCACTGTACCGCCGAATCGTCCTCCCACGGGTTCGCCTGTGCAAGTGTCTCACGGAACCTGTGTTTCCATCAGATTCCGAAATGATGTGAAAAGACACACACAAGAACGCGCGCTGCATGTTGATTGTTTGCGATCCTTCCAACTGGCCAGGCTTTTGACCGCGTGAATGCCAACAAATCCCCAATGATTCCTACGACGCCCCTAAGGAGCCCGAGCTGACCATCGGCATTTTGACACGTTGACACATCGGCGTTGGCCCTGCACAATGAGGGCATCGCTCTCTCACGACCTCTCAAGTATGGAGCTGGGCCCATGAGGACCGACCAACCCCCAAAAGCTTCAGTCCCAATTAATGATGTAAAAATGGCTCTCGGGGTCAGTCTCACCGCAGGAGACGAGACGCCGTCATACTTCGACTTGGATGATGGCTGCGGCCGGGCCTGCTCATGATGGATGATTCGATGGCCCGTTTGCGAGACCAGTCATATTTTGCCTTCGCGACCTGCCCTTTGCACTCTTCATGCCCACCCGGGCAGCTTGACGAACAGACAGGCATCCTTGCACGAGCGTTTACCCCATAAATTCGCCCCACAAACCCCAGAATCACACGCTGAGCCATGCATGCCGTCCCGGAGGCATTGATGATCTCACCTGCATTTTCCGTCTCAGCATCGTAATTCCAGCGGATGTGCTAAGTTTTGTCCTTCGATGACATGACATGACACACGCTTATCATCGTGCGATCTGTAGAGACAGCGGCTCCACAGTACTTGACAAAAATAGCCGAACCCTCATCAACGGGTGAAGCACACACTATTAAAAGCATATTCAGCGGGTTTCACTTCCTACTGTTATTGTACCTGGATCTAGAGCAGAATACTGTGGGTGTCAGGACGGCCGGTCCGGTTCGTCATCGTTCGACTTGATGTCATCCACATCCACTTCCCCAGATGATTCACATTTCTCCGCAAGTTCATCGGTCGTCGGCTTACAATGGTTCCGATCTGTACCTGGGGGAAGGGCCGCGAAACAACCTTGCGTATCGCGCTATGGCGATGGGGATACCGGAGGCTTCCAGACCCGGCTTTGCGATTGGTACTGCACGTATTGCGAATTCCTCTTCTCGTATACACCCTGTAGACCAAAGTGAAGATTCGAACCCAATATTGATGTTTTACACGTACTTGGAACTCTGCTAATCTCGAAAGCTACCGAGCTGACGGTCTTCTGGTACATGTAACATCCCTCTGACTTAGCACATCGTATTTTCCGCGAGTTTGTCAGCAAGGTTCTTTTCTTGCAGGTCGTTGTGTGATATAATGGCGTCCACAATGATCGATTCATACGAAACGCCGTGGAGATTTCAGAGCTGTATTGAACGATTTTGAAGGCGAGACTGGTGGTCCTCTCCCATTGCTATTGCCGGAGAGATTCTAGGATTGAGTCAAGAAGAATCGCAAATCCGAACGATCAAAATCAACCGTCTCTTCTGCTCGATGACGAGGGCGCGAGCTCGCTTGTTGATATCTGTACTGATACCCGGTGCTGTTGGGTGGTTCCATTCAAGTCTGATCCCCACCCCGTGATTGCTTCGGCCGATATGTCCTTCTTGAACGAGATGCGTGTTTGCACTCGTTCACAGTCGGGGGGTCCCATGTAAATTCAAATTGAGGAAATACCTGTTTGAGGCGATGGCCAAGTATCTACTCCTGTACACAGTTCTTGATTTTCTCTGCGTCACGGGAGTCCATCACCAACAATGTTACAAGGTGAGGCGACTACCATCAGTGCTACCACATGGGGGTTGAGCTTCTCTGAGTCCGTGATCAATTACGAGTAGGAACATGCCAGCGCGCAGTTACCTGTGCCATAGTGGTTCGAGCAGATTGTGTGTCGTTCTTAGTCATCATATCAGGAGAGAGGAGAACCTCCGACCAGGAAATCACAGAACCTATTTCCGATCTTACGTGTGGTGCACATGCTTATCTGTTACCTGCAAGCGACGCAATGTTGAACAGTCGATCTGATCTCATCTGTCAGCGCCGCCACCATACGAAGCATCTACGATTGGCGATCTTTGATTAATGCTGCTTGGATCGCCTATATAACGGATCGACCTCCTACTGTCTCCAAAAGGAAGGCTGGATTAGTTGCAACTATCACTCCGACCATTATATAGCCGTCACCGAATTCAAGAGGCCGTTTGGACTGTATTTTTCTTCGTCAGTTGCGTGTCTAGGGAGATCATCTTTAAGTTTCGTGGTCCGTAGTCCTCCGGTCCGAAGTGTTTATTCCTACATGTCAGCGTTGATCTGCTGATTACGATCTTCTGGAAAACTGCTCGTTTGTGAGTGGCGCCGCTTGGCCATACTGTCGTCCTGCGACTAGCGAAAGGTTTGGCGATGTCATCTTTCACAGGTAATAGGCCGCCTTCGACAAGCATGCGGTTGTCGGCTTGTGCTGTGGCATTCTGATGCCGTGAAATTCATGCATGGTAGAGCTGGGTACGCATTAATGATTTTGGATTCAGATGATGAGGTGTAGCAGATTCAGAAGATGAGCGAATCAGGAATGTCCTAGGAGAAGGAGTGATGGATGTGTTAGGCAGAGAGGGACACTGTGATGTGTATTGAGAATAAATCACGATGCGCTAGAATAGAGCCTTCCAAGGTTGTGACGCGTGCCCAGGTGTACATAATATGTTGAAAACTTCAATGTCACTTAGGTAGTTGTATCACGAACCTTTCCTCATTGCAACATCTCCATGATCGCCTGATCAATGCCGCGGGCATCCGAGAAGAATGGTCGCACCTGTTGCGTATGAACTCGAGCTGCGGCTTGCCTGTCTTAGGCGTTGCACAAATACTTGTCTATCACGACGTGAACCTTTCAAGTGTCATGAGTAAGATGTGTAAATTCTTCACACTGTAGAATAGGAAACGTGAGTATGAGGTATTCTCAAGGGGTGCTGCGGCGCTCTGGCTCACATTGGCAGTCGGAGATCACTGCACACGAACAGGCTCCCGCTCGGGCGGCGATCCGAAGCCGCGAAATTTACGTGATGATCTCCATATGCAACAGTCCAGCGCCCAGCGCAATCGGAGACGTTTTCTTTTTGGATGAGATGAGATTGTTCGTATGCAGTAAGAGACATACATACGATAGTTCATGCATGTCCAGAGTCAATCTATCGGAACACGAAGCGATCATCTTGGCGCCTTTCGCGGTCTGGGGACGACGAGGTAAAATGCGACAGATTGGTAAAGAAATGATCTATTCTGTCCCAGATGATGCACAAGACTCTTTTGAGCGGACAGGCACGCAGATGCATAGTAGATGCATGTATGCACATTGCGTGCACAGATGGGTTTCCTTTCAGAAGAGCACCTGGCGACCTGCATTCTGCACTGCTGCTTCTACATCATGCACGCAATAGTTTCATTCGGAGAAATGATGATGTTCGCGATTGATGATGAAAACGATCTTGATGAAGAACAATCAGCCAGCAGATGCCGCGGCACACAATCGATGAAGAAGATGAAGAAGGGTGAGGTGGTGTGAGATTCGGAGTCTGAGAGCGCCAGTGGAAACTTGTGGTGGGGAGTGCGGAGAGGTAACGAATCAGAGCGGCTGAAAGAGCGAAGATCAGGAACAGATTCAGATACAGTTTTGACGCAGGTGGGCAAAAGTCTCCAATGGCACCAATGCATTGCAGCCATTGCTGTACGTTTTCACATTCCGGGGGCGGCGGGCGGCCGCGCGCACACAGAACCTGAGCCGCTTCCCGAAATGGTTGCTGACGTCCGGCATTGTTTGTTCACGCTTCCATGGAAAGTTAATTCTAGACCTGCCTGTCTCTATTGCTTGCTTGCTTGCTTGCTTGCCTTCTTTGCTTCCACCACACACCGTTCTGCTTGCCCGTTGTTCACCCTCGCGTCCCTTCTTGGTACAGCGTTTGAGGAAGGGTCACCGTCATCACTTCCGCGCACGACAAAAAGGGTTTATGGTACACATAGACCCTCACTCCCATGAATTGATCCGTTCGTCCCTGTCGCGTTGCACACGCGCAATCGTCCGCCGATCTCCATCTCCCACACACTTCTCTCGACAGCCGTCATGGTTTCCGATTCGCGCCCGCCGACGGCTGCGTCGCAAGCGTCCTATGCGCTCAAGGCGCTTCGCTATGAAGATACAGTCGAGGGCGGCCATCCATTGCAAGCGACGCGCTCCAACAATTCGTCGCGAGCGTCAGTTTCGCGACCAATCTCAGAAACGAGCAAAACGACCAGTCCGAAACGTTTGGCGGGTCGACGAAGTCCACATCTCGATAGCCCGTCGCGTTTCACGTTCGACCTCAAGCGCGATTCCGGAATCGCACCTTCCATGTCGAACAGTCGAGCTTCCTACGCCGGAAGCCAACGCTCAGAAATGTCGGGAAGCGCCGTGGATGAGACTACCGCATTGCCGCCCATGGCTGCACCCTCAAGTAGTCGTTCGTCGCGGAGCCTTTCGCCATTTGGGAAGAGACGATCACAGAGTGTTCCTCGCCACGTGCCGAACGAATCCAGTCCGAGTATCGCGGAGCGCATGAGTAGTTTCAAAGGCATAGATACACAAATACCGTCCAGTGATAAGCAAGAGCTAAAGCTTGTGGACTTCTCCTCTGACAAGCTCGGGTTTTCTAAGCGCGGCAGCCTGTTGTTTGGTGGGAAGAAAATGGACACCTTATTAGCTACGATGGCTCTGGACGAAAGCGACGAGACTGGCGCTTCCACAGAGGACGTATCTCGGACAGCGGGTGCTACACAAGAGACTGACCTATCACATTCCAAACAAGCCTTGGTCTCTGGGCGCCGAAAGCCCACTTCACACGCGTTGCAGACGACTCTGCAAGGCGGACGAGCCCACTCTACAGATGAAATAACCTTTTCAATGCGCGTACGCAGCATGTACGAGCATGGCACCGAGGATGCTGCCAAATGGGTCTCTAGTATGGGCAGGGCCGCTAACGGCAGATCGGCATCGACTCGTGAGAGGACGGGTAAAGACACACCGGGCAATTCCACGCCAACGTCAAGTCATCCAGGATCATTGACACCTGGAAGGGACACGCCCTCCATCATCATAGAGGAGAGCGCAAGTCCAGAATTGCTACCAGCTCCATTGTCGCTCGACAAAATCAGAGCTGCAGATGGTCGAGGCTCGCCTAAGCTTCCTTCTGGCAAGACCACAAACAAGTACTACACGAAGGAAGCTCATGAGCTCGCTGGAGGAATCGAAGATTGGGGCGAAATTGAAGGACAGGAAGTTGATCGATATGGCTTCATAGTTCCCGCTCGCCGATCTGATTCGCGGTCTTCCGGGACCAACGATCCTGTTACTGGCAACGCGCAAAGAGTAGCAACCTCGTTGCGAGTGGAAGCCGAGAAACCACGAAAGTCTTCAAGGGCGGCATCAAGCGCTCGGTCCGCAAGATCGGTGCCACCGCGACCAAGTCGTGACTGGGCGCTGCGCAAAGGACCCAGTTCTGTCCACAGCACACGCTCTACTGCAACCTCAGGTCGATCAAATCCTTTCCGATCGCGTCATCAACGGATTCTTGACGAGGCGTCTGACATGCTTACGCTCCCACCTGGCCTTGCTGACATCGCCGAGCAGGATGACGCAGGCCGGACAGCGTCATCGATGAAACAACGAGAGTGGAATCGCGAACAGAAATGGCAACGAATGGCCCGACCCGTCTCCGGACGTGTACACGGTAAAGGAGGGGGCATGCGCTTCGACTTTGACACGAGTGATCCCAAACTCATCGAACGGACATGGAAGGGCATTCCTGATCGATGGCGAGCGACCGCCTGGCATAGCTTCCTAGCCACAAGCGCAGCTAAACGTGGCAGCCCGGCTTCCGACGCCGAGCTCATCGGCCAATTCCACAAACTCCAATCCCAGGACTCTGCCGATGACTCGCAAATCGACGTGGACGTCCCCAGGACCATCAGTATGCACATCATGTTCCGTCGCCGGTACCGCGGCGGCCAACGCTTGCTCTTCCGTGTGCTTCATGCCGTCAGCCTTTACTTCCCGGGCACAGGCTACGTCCAAGGCATGGCCAGTCTCGCCGCAACGCTGCTCTGCTATTATGACGAAGAGAACGCATTCGTCATGATCGTGCGCTTATGGCAGCTCCGTGGTCTGGAACAACTCTTTGCACCTGGTTTCGGCGGACTCATGGCCGCTCTCGCCGAATTCGAAAAATCCTGGCTCGGCGGCGGTCAAGTGGCAGAGAAGCTCGATGAGCTGTCCATCACTAGCACCGCCTACGGCACGCGCTGGTACCTCACATTGTTCAATATGAGCGTCCCTTTCCCCGCCCAGCTTCGCGTCTGGGACGTCTTCATGCTTCTCGGCGACGCGCCCGCCTCGGCACTATCCGCCACCGCCGCGACACCTTCCGCAACAGCATCCGCCTCGCTGACCTCAACACCGATCATGACTACACCCGCCAGCGCCGCAATCGACGACCTTTCCGAGAAACGAGGCAAGAAGCAAGACCCGGCTCAAACGACGACCACGGCCACTACTGCCACTTCTGCCGCCGCGCCAGCTCCGCCCCCCTTCGGCGGTGCCGATCTCGACGTCCTCCACGCCACCAGCGCCGCCCTCATAGACGCGACCCGCGAAATCCTCCTCGACAGCGACTTCGAAAACGCGATGAAGGTCCTCACTTCTTTCGTGCCCATCCGCGACGAGGACTTGCTCATGCGCGTCGCCAAGGCCGAGTATAAACTCGCCAAGAAGAAACAGGCCTCGAGCGCGGCGAGCCGGAAGAAGAAGCGAGATACGATCTGATCTGTCGTTTCCGCCCGCGAGATGATCTCGAGGGACGCTGTGACCTCTCTTTTCTTCACGAAAATATCCTCTCTTTTTTTTTCTTTCCCCTTGCCGCGTGGGTCCAAGATACCTCTTCTGTGATACCAGATCTTACTTCCGATCAAAACTTTCCTTTGTGTGCATGCGCTGGCCTTTTCTCCTCCTTTGGATGGTCTTCCCGGACTCGGATGGGCCTATCACGAACGCAGAAACTTATATCTCATGTAGAGACGTACATAATTTTAGTCGAAATTTATTGTTTAATTCAATCGCAGCGTTGATCTTAGAGCAAGCGGGTTACATCTCGATGAAGCGGAGCGATGATGTTGATGTGATGAGGGGAGTGTTTGGGTATCATTGATTTAAATATATTCCCGCGACGTCGTCGTGCTAATCAAGACAGACGTGTGAGATTTTTCGCATTCTGATCCACAGTCTTACTAACGTCCGTTTCCTTCATTCCATTCATCAAACATCATTCGTCTCGAATTCAAAACGCGACAGCCCGTCTTAAATACAAAAACCACTTCTTCCCAAAAGCCAAGTCCTCAGATTCCCACTCAAATCCTCCCTAACATTTTCTCAATCAATACGGAGAATTGACAATTTCACTCCTCAAATAGCTCGCGCGTCCCTTACTCCTCCTAGGCGTAGCCATGATGCTCTCACGGGTGGGTCTCTGCAGCGCACGGCGAGCCACCATATCGACCTCATTGGGCAAGGCGACGACGATGTTCTTATCGCTGCCATAGCGGAAGTTGTCCGCCTTGACCTCTTCTGCGTAGCGTTTAATGCTGTAGGGGTCTTTGCGGCCCGCGAGGATTTTCTTGAGGCTCCATGTAATGATGAAGGGACCCGTGGCTGTGATGATGGTTGTTTCGTCCTTGCCTTCTCCTGTGTTGAAGTGGGCGGGCGTGAACGACAACGGCGCGTGAGTCTCGTGTTGGAATTGGGCGACGTGTGAGGGCGTAAGACCCAAGCGTCGTGGTTGAGGCTTGGAGTCCTTCGCAAAGGACTTCTCGAAGCCAAGCTTGCCTTCATTTTTGCCGTCCTTTTGTAAGGCGTCGATGAGGAGGAGGTAGGTACGGGTCGTGGCGAGAATCCAGCGACCGTCGGCACTTGTGTCGATACCGATAATGGGATCGCCGAGCGCAGGCAATGCCGTTTTGGCGTTGATTCCCAAACGGTCGAACATGCGGATTTCTCCTTTGTTTGAGGCGACAGCGATGTAGCCCTTTTCGGTTGTGGCCGCCGCGGAGAAGTCATTCTTGCTGGTGTACTGCTTCAATTCCGACTCGACGAGTTTGTTACCTGAAAGTCGAGGGTCTACGCGGAACAAGGCATTTTTGGACAGCCCGAGGAATGTCTCTTCACCGGTGTTCTGAGCAAACTTGCTCGACGGCGCGAAAATGTCTGCGGGGATGTCGTCGTGGATTTTCCATTCGTCGACCACTTTACCCACTTCAAGATCCATACGAAAGAGGCTGTGAGGGTTGTCTGCACTCTGTAGAATCATGTTATGGTCCTGCTGGTGCAGCATGACCTTCTTCGGCGAAAAGGTCTTTCCGCCAGGGGTCTTAACCTGGTTGATTGTTGTGCTGTATTGAAGCTGATTGTCCGGGGTGTGTTTGAACACGCCAATCTTGTCGCCTCGCACGACGAATGAACGATCAACAGACGCACCAACAGCAAGCTGGCTGTTGACGTTGCCGTCTTTGTCATGATCGTCAGTCTCATCGCCATCCTCATCCTCATCGTAATTCGCCTCTTCCCGACGCTCTTCGGCGTCCTCGAAATCATCCTCGTCTTCCTCGTCTTCCTCAGCAGCTTCCCGTTCCCGCTCATCGTCGCGGGGGTCTTCTAGCACGAGATCGTTGAAAGCATCGAGAACATAGTCGCGGTCATTGTCCTTGACTGCCTTGGCCCATTTAGTCTCGTTGGCATGCTCCCAAAGAGCCTGCATGAGGCCTCCTTGGAAACGCTCAATGGTTTCACGATCCTCGAACTTTAAGAGCCAGGAATATGCTGAACCATCTTCGGTGTAGTGATTGAAGATGAAACTTTGATATTCAAAATTGAACACCGGATTGATGTCTTGTAGGACCTGTTGGCTCAGCCATTGTTGCTTGCCGCCTGTGATCTGAAGCCAGTAGTTCCAATTGCTGGTCTCGATGACCAAAGCTTGAACGTCCTCATCTTGCAGGATGAAAGTCCCGGATTGAAAATCGAACAAATGCAGCTCGGCTTGCTCTTTGGCAAGGACTTCGCGGCTGTCTGGAGCTTTGCGGAACGCAGGTGCTTTAGTGGGCGTCTGCTCGATCGCTCGGAGTGGTGCGGACACTTTCTTGCTAGAGTCCCGGGCCATGTTTGGTTCGTCACGAAGATTGGCGAGCGATCGAGATGTCGGGGAAGCTATCGCAGCTGGCGTTTGTGAGATGGGACTGGGAAGCGGGCTCGCTGCAGGTATGGCTGGCTCGTTTAGGAACGCAAACTCTTGAAGGTCTTCTTCAGTGGCAGCTTGGTGGCTCTTGCGATATTTCCGTTCGTACTGGCACTGAGCAGCGACGAGTTGGAAGGTAGTGGCTGTCTCGGGTCGGGTCGACTTGTCACAAACAAACTCGAAGAGATCCCCAGAATCTCCAAACAGGTCGTTCCAGGCGAGCACAAATTCGCCGTCCGCGTTCCTCTCGATGCGAAAATGGAGCTCCTGATCGAGCAGGAATGTTTTCTCGTCCTTGTCACCAGATGCGTCGATGTCCTCCTCTTCGCGGCCTTCTTCGTCTAAGAGTTCCGCCTCGCCTTCCTCGTAGGCGCGTTGGATGACGAGCTGATATTGAAAGTCCTGTCCAGTCTTGCGAATGATGGCGGCGGAGTCTTTGAAGATGAGCTCACTGTAGCCTTTGGGAGACTGCGGGCGCACGATGTAGAGTTGACCCTGGGAGATTTCGACGACGGTCTGTTTGCTGCCGGTGTTGCCGAACAGATAACCCGAGAGAGATTTGAGGGCAAACATGCTCAACAGGCCGATCAGGTGGTGGTTGTTTTTGTTTTTGGCACTAAGAGATTTCGTGTAGCGCGACGGCACACATCATCACTTGCAGCAGCTGACTTATTGTGGGAGATCGGATTGGAGAAAGTGGGTGAAGATCTCTTTGTTCTGGTGCCCGAGGAAAGATCAATTCTACGGTCGCAGTGATGGAATTTGCGATCAAGACACAGAGGTATGTAGCGAAGGTGACTTTCACACTATGAATCTGGTAATCGCCTGCGATAGCTACAGTCGGGAATCTACAGCGTTGCAGGTTGTCATGTGTATGTACTGTAATAACGAGCAATGGACACGGTCTTGAAGGCCGCTTGTGATGGGGTGTGGCATGATGACGGAAAACGCCAGGCTGAAAATGACACAATTCCGGTGCGAGTTGCCTCTTCCAAGAAATTCGACTTCACGGCGAATTCATTCACATCCCGCCAACGCATCCATGTAAAGTACCGGACGTGTAGAGTGGGTGATGCGATTGATCTATCGGTCACCAACTACTGCTTTCTCCCTTCCCTCCCTCCCTCCCTCCCTCTCTCTCTGGCGGTAGATTATTGTCGTAACTGTACTGTAGTCGTCTTGATCATTGTTGTTATTGTTGATGTGACGAGTGGGGTAGACAATCCTCCGGTACAACGGCCTCTCTCCCCCTCGCCCGCCGCCCGCCCACTCTTCTCGTCCGCTGTTCTGCTCCGTCACCCCACCCTTGGCCACCACTCAACCACAGCACGCAAAGCACCAGAATGGGTGGGTCGCAGCATCGAGCAAACCTGAAAGGTCATCCTTTCTGGGTCCCTAGGCATCGTGTACTCAAACATGCCCGTGCCACTTCATATTCACGACCCGCCTTATCTTCATCTATGATAAATGGTAATATGAAGAGGCAGAAAATGGGGATCTGCTTCTGTCGAACAGAATCGCGTTATGCGTTGTAGTCCACGGGTTCCATGGATTGATCTTCAAGGATTTCCCGATGACGTCGATCCCGTGTTCGACACATCGCTCTGTCGCCGGAGTTTTTGGTAGAATTCATCCCTGCAGAAAAGGGTTCGGCGAGACGACCGTTTTATGGTCTCTTTCGGCGGTGTGCTGCACATTAGAGTCGTTGATAAGAACATGAGAACGAACATGATGGCAGCACATATCGTCCAATGCAATCACTGCTTGCCGGTCCAGCTTGTTGGAGATTTCATGGTTCATATGTGTGGAACACACCTGCAATCATTGCCGACACATCTTCTTTCAAGTCCATCTCAAAAGACGGTGGACCCTGATTCTCGCATTGGAAGGTCACTACTGCCCACGGTATTGTTAGAATGAACATTCCGAGGTCCGAACATGGCTGGACGACAGATGTCTCGCCCTTGCCATCAGTTTCCAGGTAGGCAATTGCTTATATTGATCATATCACATGTGTGAAAGCCCCTCTCGCTTTAGCAATGAATGGCAATGATGTGCAATGCTCGCCGGAACGCTCTCGTAAAGTTGCTGCGCGGCACGACGCCGTCGAAAAAAGCTTGTACTATTGTAGTCGCTTCAAGATTGTGGAATATGCTCCTCATTCCTCTCTTGTCTTCTATGTAACTTAACACACGGGCTTGTTTTCTTACATATCGACCTCTCCCTGTGAATCAATATCTCAATCTCGGACAAGAATCCCGAACACGACCTGAGACTCTCAATCACGTGGCATGCTACCACCCGAACACCCTTGGGGCAAACATTCGTTCGTCCCATGAGCTTCGGTAATTTTATCCGACTACATGTCAGTGGATTCATCATGGCCGACTTCGCCCTCCTCTCCATCTCGGAAGGAAGTAGACCCAGACGGAGAATCCGCTACGATCATCGTGACGGCCAGTCATGACACTCCACCACGCTGCCGCCTGCTCGAATTACCCGCCGAACTTCGCGAACAGATTTGGAACCTAGCCGTCTCTGACTGGATCCCCATCAAACCCGGTGACGATGAAGAAGAAGAAGAAGGTGAAGATGAAGAAGACGAGAGTAACAACTACCCCAGCGAAGAACAAGAAGGAACACATCAAGACCTCCCTGCGACGTCCTCCGAGAGCGTGTTGACTCTTCTCCGCCGCGCTCCCATCCGCATCGACCGCTTCAACCACATCCCTCCCGCGGCCATAACCCGAACGTGTTCCCAGATCCGCTTCGAGACACTGCAGCGCTACTACAACCTCAACCGCTTCGAATGCTGGCGGCCACGTTTCCGGCGCAAAGGCTGGATTTACAGCAGCAGTCTGATCGGCTGGTTGCAACTCCTAGGTCCCGAACAGCGCGGCTGGCTGCGCTCCGTGACCTTGTTACACAAGCCCAATGATGACCTCTCTCATGATCCCGAGCAGATTCTCGTGGACGAGGGATTGCCATTGCCGCCTGGGGTCCTGAGGCAGAGGCTCTTGCTCTCGGAGTATGAGCAGTGTTTTGAGCAGTTGGGTCTGCCAAGACATTTTGGGAAGAAGCGGCCGAAGAGGTAATGGGGTGGAGTTTCCGGTTCTTGTTCGAGTCTGGGTTTCTTTCCCAAGTGTTTTTCTTCCTACTGTTCATCCTGGATATGTGCTACGAGCGAGATCATTTTGGCGATTATCTGCAAAAGCGACACATTCCGTGGCGTTTGTTGGTTGCATCATTATCCTGTATCGTGCAAAGTTTTATCAACCTGCCCTGCCCGACCCCCAACACCTCCGCCAGACCATATGTACATGACGCACATTTGTACAGTAGGACGAAATGACAATTTGATTCATGATTCTCTGCCTTTTTGGTGGTTCATAAGCTGACGGGACTTGTTTACATCAAACGAAAACAGCAAACCATTTTCACACCCTTAACCTAGGTGAAAATTTCACCTCGGCCGGGGAAGTGACGCTTTAGTATGAGAACAAAATTTACATGAGAGACAACCCATCGCGTTCACAGTCAGCCTTCACTGTCGCGAAAACGACACTTTCGACCTCCTCTCGGATCCCGGGAAAACCCGTCCTTCCCTCCAGCACTTGGTCTGAAAAGTAGGGTCATTCCTCACGCGATGCTCGTCTGGAGCGGAGCTTCATAGTGCACCCAGATTTGCGCATTGAAGATTGCAAGCGACAAAAGGAAAATTCACTCTTCGAAGCAGGTAGAGACGGGGCAACGGGTACAACCGACAAGTGCATCACTCTACTTGCCGCGGTTGATGTCAAGAAGCTTGACGTCAAAGACCAGCGTCGAGTTGGCTGGGATCTCGCCGTTCTTCTTACTGCCGTAGGCGAGGTGAGCCGGGATGGTGATGCGGCGCTCTCCTCCAACGGTCATGCCGGCGATACCAATGTCCCAGCCCTTGATCACCTCACCCGAGCCGAGCTTGAAGGTGAAAGGCTTGCCCTTCTTGTTGCTGTCGAAGACCTGGTTGTTCTTCTCAAGCTTGCCAATGTAGCGCATGCCGACGCGGTCGCCGTTCTTGGCAGCAGGACCGGTACCAAGCTTCTTGTCGTCGATGGTGACGCCTTGGACTTTCTTGATGCCGAGAGCGCCCTTGGACTGCTCCTTGGTCGGGGTGGGGCCCTGCTCGAGATTCTTAGCGAATTGGACCTTTTTGTCGGACTTCGCGGAACCATTCGCTACCTCTTTCTTCTCCTCAACAGCGGCAGCAGTGCCGTCGTTCTTCTTCTGTTTCTTCTGCTTCTTGCTGAGCTTTGCGTCGCTGGCATCGGCCTCGCGAGCCTTGGTGATCAGAGCGTCAAGGCCGCTGCCGTCAATCTCCTCTTCGGCAGTGCGCTTGTTCTTGCCCTTTTTCTCCACCTTCGCAAGGACTGGGGCCTCGTCGTCGTCGACTTCAGTGATGCGAGGGTCCTCAATATCGTCAAGCTCATCCTCCTCCTCGTCGTAATCGAGCTCCTCATCTGAGTCAGGCTCGAGGTCGTAGCCATACTGGTCGTCCTCGTCATCCTCATCGTAGTCATCGACGCCTGAGCGACCGGCGGGTTCGACGTAGTTTCCAGTCAGGAAAATGCTGTGTGTGCCAGTGACCTTGAACAGGACGCGCTCATCCTCGCCGATGGTGATGTCAAGGGCTTGTTGGTAGTTCTGAGAGTGTACGGTGATTAGTAACGAGCATGACGTTTACACCATTGACGTAACATACCTTTGTGGGGTCGAGAGTGCACAGAACGAATTCCTCAACCTCAGCGCCGTACTCATCGTCATCATCTTCATCATCTTCATCATCGTCCTCCTCCTCGTCGTCAACAGGCATCTTGCCACGGGACTTGGCGGATTTCTTAAGGCCGTTGGCACCGTTGGCCAAAAGCTCATCGTCATCCTCGTCCATTTCGTCGTCCTCGGCAACGGCTTCCATGATCTCCTTGAGCGCAGCAGCCTTGCGAGCCTTTTTGCTCTTAGATGGGTCGCTTGGGCCACCATTGACGTCTTCGTCGTCTTCATCATCCTCGTCGTCTTCACTGTCAGCCTCGCCGAGGATGCGCTCTAGCTCATTGACGTCGAACTCGTCATCGTCCTCGTCATCTTCATCCAGCAGAGAGTGACGGATGATCTTGAGGGTAGCACGAGGGACTGCGCCTTCCTCGCCCTCCGGCTCAGCACTAGGATCGATAGCAGCCATGGTGATGCGGAAAGCAGCAGGGATATCACCGCGCGCAGTGATGGCTACATCGCCGGCGGGGACCTCGAGGCCGAACAAGGCCATAGGCTCCAATGCTGCCATGGCTTAAACTGCTAAGAGACGATGTCAAAAGATTGTAATGACGACCTTCGTTGGCCTGTGACGTGATTTCAAGCTGAGAGGAAGCTTGATAGGTAGCACAAGGAATTAAAATCGAAATATGTGTATGAAAAGAACCTTCACAATCGGTCGACTCGGTGAAGGGTATTGTAGATTTTTTTCTCTTTGGCCGAGCAACCAGGGCCAAGATTTCGGTGAGCAGAGACTAGAAAGAGCTTTGGCCATCAAGCAGCAGCAGCAGCAGCAGCGGAGCGGCAGAATGACGCGCTAGTCCGGACACGTTTTTTGCCTCCAGGGACTTTTTGGTTTCCCTTTCCCGCAGGCAGAAACGCGCGCCAATCGAAGGTCGTCATCGTCTGTGCTGCGATGACTTGAGAGAGATACAGTAGCTTGTCACATGAAACTCTACCAGCAGCCTGTTATGTATAACCACGCTCTCATCCAAGCACAACACACATTTTCATCCGCATTTATATCGCAATTCATACGATATAACGCATCACGATTGAACGTTCGACACGCATCCTCCTTAAGTCTTTTGCGCGCGTATTGTGTCCTGCTGCCCGCAGACGCGGTGGCGGCCCAAATCATTCCCACCATGACAGACCTGCATCATGGGTTCTCGCCTCGAACAAAAATCCAACCTCGTTAGGAAACGCATCGAAAGCCATACCTTCAGCGGCGAGGATGGCGAAGAATATGATGGGTCCAAATTTGGCGGCTTCAACGATTATTTTCGGCGCAAAAAGATCAAGCTTCAGAATCTTGACGCCGATCTGCGCGCACAATCTACTGACAAACCGCAGATATTCAAAGGCATAGTCTGTCATGTTAATGGATACACTCAACCCTCACTCAATGACCTTCATACTATGATCGTTCAACATGGTGGCGGGTTCATGCAATACCTTGATGGCAAGACGATGGTCACTCACATCATTGCCAGTAATCTAACTCCGAAGAAAAAAGAAGAGTTCCGTAGATATCGAATTGTGAAGCCTGCTTGGGTCGTTGACAGTATCAGTGCTGGCGCATTGCTGCCGTGGGACAAGTACCGTGTCATTGATGAAGGTGTGGGCCAGGCAGTGCTGGGCTTTGACAACGGTCAAGTTGTGAGTCAAGCCAATCGCAAATCGGGGGGCTATCGAGAGCAGACCGATGCGAGTTGGTACACGTCTCAGCTACAGTCTGAAGCAGAGGAACTATCTAAAAAACAGAGCGGATCGCTGGATGTACGATCAGATGTTGCTATCGTCAGAGGTACAGAGGCCGAATACGATCAGCTGTCGCCACCAGAGATTACCAGTTCAATTGAACGCGTCCTCGATGGCAACAACGACGTGGCGGACGAGTCGAGAACCACATCTAGAAAATATCCTCCAGATCCGTCACCCGAGAAAACGAAAGCACAAGCGGTACTCTCGACAATCGATCATGCACAGCGACTTGGCGACAGGGCTACGGTCCACGAAAGTCGGGAAATGTTTGCTCTGCCTGCAACACCCAAGTCACCCGCGGTGACCGCGCTTAGACCACGAGAAGGCTCACAGGAACCCGATTACGTACACGGTTTGATCCGCGACTCGGAGGTACTACGCGCGGTATCGCCTGCGCGGCTCGCAGCTATGACTGCCGAGGAACATAATGCTTTGCTGCTATCCGATCCGAAGATCCGCAAGTCCACAGTCGTCCACCCCGACTTCCTGGAGCAATACTATCGTGAATCCCGGCTCCATCATTTGTCAACCTGGAAAGCAGATCTCAAATCGAAGTTACAGGCCCTTGCGGCGGAGAAAACTGCATCACAGAAAGCTAGTGCCAAGCGGCTACCCGGACAACGACGTTATGTCATGCACGTTGATTTTGACAGTTTCTTTGCTGCAGTCTCACTGAAGCGTTTCCCACAGTACAGAGATCTGCCTGTAGCCGTAGCGCATGGTGGTGGATCGGGCTCGGAAATTGCGAGTTGTAATTATCCAGCCCGCAAATTCGGCATCAGCAACGGTATGTGGATGAGACGAGCTCAGAAACTATGCCCCGAACTCAAGGTGGTCCCGTATGACTTTCCAGCATACGAAGAAGCAAGTCGCAGATTCTACGAGGCGATCTTGGCTACGGGTGGTGTTGTTCAGTCTGTGAGTATTGACGAAGCGCTGGTGGACATCAGTACTTTGTGCTTTGCAGCCAGTGGTGGCGATGGAGTCGGACAGCATGGAGGGGCAGTCGACCGGGAGCAGAGCAAGGCAGATCAGCTGGCTCAGACGCTTCGAGACGAAGTGCTTGCAAAGACCGCATGCGAGGTGTCAGTGGGCATCGGAGCTAATATACTTCAGGCAAAGATAGCATTGCGAAAGGCCAAGCCCGCTGGGCAGTACCAATTGAAACCGGACGAAGTGCTTGGCTTTATTGGTCAGCTTGAAGTGCAGAAGTTACCTGGAGTGGCGTACAGTCTTGGCGGGAAACTCGAAGAGATTGGTATCAAGCTTGTGAAGGACATCTGGGAAGTATCCCGGGACAGACTAGTGAACGCCCTAGGCCCCAAGACCGGTGAAAAGATATGGGAATATTCTCGTGGTATCGATAAAGTCGAGGTGGGCGATCAAGTAGTCCGCAAGTCGGTCTCTGCAGAAGTCAACTGGGGAGTACGATTCCAGAACCAGGAGCAAGTTGACGAGTTCATGGAGGGTCTGTGTGGCGAGCTTCATAAGCGCTTGGTCAAAGAGCGAGTAAAGGGTAAACAACTCACTATGAAAGTGATGCGTCGAGCAGCAGATGCGCCTCTTGACCCACCTAAGCATCTTGGCCATGGCAAATGCGATGTATTCAATAAGAGTCTACAGTTGGGTGTCGCGACAAACGATTCTGCCACCTTGGCGAAAGAAGCCATCGCTATGATAAAGTCGTTCTGCATCTCGCCTGGGGAGCTGAGGGGCATAGGGGTACAGATGCAGAAACTTGAGCCGATTAAGCAGGGCGCTGATGGGCGAGAGCAAGGAAGCCAGCTGAGGCTACAGTTTAAGGCTGGTCAATTCAACAAGGACGTGCCGCAAGTCGATGGCGGCAAGGCTGTTGACGATCCTATCCAGGACGGATCTCGCACCCCTGAAAAGCCAAGCACGGCGGAGGTCAATCGACCCAGTGTCGCATTCGAGCCGATCGATCCAGGGACACCGAGTAAGAAACGGCTCAACACTCTAGGCACGCAGTTCGTTCTACCAACACAAGTCGACCCGAGCGTTCTGGCCGAGTTGCCAGCAGAGATCCGCGCGAAATTGACCAGACGGACAGCGTCGAGAACGGAGAAAGCGGCGATCGATTTGCCGACCGTAGCTGGACTATCTGACGACGGAGCTGTGCCGCACGACAAATACGCGCTTCCTACGCAGTCGCAATTGGATCCTAAAGTACTAGAAGCACTACCAGCGGAGCTACGTAAGGAAATACTTAGGTTCTACACAGCTCCTTCAGCACCATCCAAACGCGGCGACCAAGCGGTCTTGCCACAGTCACCTCGCAAGAATCGAACCTTGCCCTCAATCCGTGGGGCCAGCAAACGAGGCGGCAAGCGAGGCGGCGGTCTATCTGCCACCCGCGCTCGTCTCAATCGCGCGGACAAGTATAGCACTCTGACACAGTCCAACTTCGTTGCACGACCTGCACAGAAGCAAGCAGTCCCATTCACAGACTCGGATCAACACTCCGGCAGCGAAGCCACTGCAGGAGACGAAGACGACCAGATTGACCCTGAAGTCCTGGCGGCTTTGCCAGCAGATCTTCGACAAGAAGTCCTGGATCAACAGCGATCAGCACGCCTACAGCGCAACGGCGGCATCGACATATCACTGCATCAGCGTCCTATAACCGTACGGAGAAAAAATCCGCCCGATGATACCACGGCGACACTGGAAAGACAATTTACTTTGCCGCCTCCCAGCATACGCCCGACATTCACAAGCAGGAAATTATCCGAGCCGCCAGAGCTGAGAAACGCTATATCGGCCTGGGTCCAAGAGTTCTCAGACGAAGGACCTTACGATGAGGATGTCGCGGCATTATCGAAATACTTGCAAGAGGTTGTTTGTGCTGAATATGATGTTGCCAAAGCGGTTGCCTTGGTAAAGTGGTTGGCGTGGGCCATTGAGGAATGCAACAAGAGTTTCGCTGAGGATGTCGCTCAGAAATGGCAAGCTGCATTTCGAGAGGTCCGGATATGTGTCAGAAAGGCTGCTGCGCAGCGCGGACTGGGGGATCTTGATTTCGATTGATCACGTAATCCCAAGATAATGATGCATGGAGCAAATGAGCTAGATGTGACAAAGATTAAAACGTAGCATTCACTCGTAAACATAGCAGACGTAATTCGGCAGGAGATGGGACTTGACACAATCTGGTGTTTCAACGAGTCAGAAGCGATTTGAGGCCCAATGGAGATGAAGCTGGTCATGTGCTTGATTGCATGGCATCTTCTTGAGCGCGATGGCCAAGAATAAAGCTAACTGGTGCGGTGTAATAATTTCTTCCCCAGAAGAGGTAGTACCCAATCGCGAAGAGAATGAAGCCCGCCCAGAGTGCAGGGGCCCAGTTCGCGTTCAATACCGTTACTGGAAGCTTGGTCGGCATACAGCAAAAGACAATGATGAAAGACGAGTAAGTCAGAGCGAAAGCATTGATGGGTATTCCCCAGCGTCCGAGACTCCAACGTGCATGAGGTAGAGGCTCCCCACTAAGCCGCCGCCAGAGCACGCAGCCAATGCTGAGCATGTAGGTGCTGAGCAGGCTCAATAGGGCGATTGAGGTGATGATGTTGAAGGTCAAGGTGGATCCCAGAACGATGAGGCTCAGAAGAAACACGATACCAGATGCGGTGTAGACAGCGTTTAGTGGTATCTTCCAGTGCCTGTCGATCTTTCCAAGCCAACATGAGAATGGCAGACCATGGTCGCGCGCGAATGCGAACATTTCACGAGAGCAGGTCGCAAGGGCAGTGATATTTCCCACATACAGGGCGATGAAGAGGACTACGCTCAGAAAGAACGCAATCCCTGTTGAACCAGTGCGGTCGAAGAGTTGAAGGTAAGCGGTTTGGCTCTCGAGCTACGAAGGGAAATACGCATCAGTAAAGTGCTTGACTCGAATGGCGGGCAATCTCAAAATCTAAAAGCAATATGACCTACCACGTCTTCGATCGGTCCTACACAGAACAAAAGGACGATGAGCATGCCAAAACCGGAGATGGCATTGCCGACATAAGACCACCACATGCTTCGTGGCACATTGATCGATGCATCGCTAACTTCTTCTGAGATGTGAGTGACGGAGTCGCTCCCAATGATGCACCAAAAAACGTATACTTGCGACATGAGAATAGCAGCGGCCATGCTATCATAGCCGCTGGTATTGGTGAACGTCAAAAAGACGTCTGTAGGGCTGTTCTTTGGGCACAGCACTAGTACCACGATCGCGATCACCACGAATCCGAGGACGTGCACGTAGAGGCTTGCTATTTCCAGCGCTGGAAGGATGGGCGCTGTGCGTGTGTTGAGGATGATCGTGACGACGCCTAAAGCGATCATCATCAACGTTGTTTGCCATTGCGTGAACGCCAAATCTGGTAGGTAAACATTCACCAACGCTTGGACCTGCAGAGCGCTGATGAAGTTTCCAGCTGCAACACTGCTCAATAATCCCAAAGATGATAGCCATCCAGACGCGTATGAGAGAACGCGCTGATATTGCGGAGGAGCAAATTCACTAGTCCAGTGGTATTGTCCTGGGAAGATAGATTGGTCAGTCTTGAAATCTGGATACGTAGGGTGCGTCGGCTTAGGTAAACACTCACCACCACTGGTCGGTGCCATTGATGCCATCTCTGCCAGACTGGCCGTTACGCTCGCAAAGCAAAGAGTCGCTGGGATGTAGCACCAGAGCAGACCCGCGAAACCGCCATTGGAGAAGCCAAGCGAGAGCGACACAAGCACAAATTCCCATGTTGCCATGTATACAGAGACCAAGGCTAATGCGCTCCAGAATCCGAAGTTACGCTTGAACTCTTGCTGTGAAGTGGATCAGAACCCGTAGAGCTTCGTCTTAGGAATGAATCACCTTTTTCCCCAAGCGAAGCATGTCTTTGCCATCAATATTAGAGATATGATCGTAGGACCCATCGCGGTGCGCACTACCCGCTTCACGATCGCTATCGACACGTTCATCGGAGGAAGCGGCCGCGAGGATTTCAAAGGGAGCCTTTCGGATCTCGAGCGACCTCTGCCGTGGTTGAATTCCGTTTGCCATGATGAGGAAAGATGAGAGACAGAGATAAGATCATGAAATGAAAGCAATGTGCTTTACAAGTGCATCGAGCGCCTTACGAGGGATGTATCAGTACACCAAGTGGTAGCTCATCGTACCGATGGAATGTCGCGCCAGGCGAGTCTTGCTCTGGATGTGCACTGTGTACTGTAATACTGGGTGCATGAACGCCACTTCAGAGGCTTCGGATTGCGAGGGACTATCTCTGGCTTGCTCACAACAGGCAGTTCATTTGTTGGAACGGGCTGCTGTATGTGCTCGCATTGGATAGCTATTGATTTGGGCTTACGCTACATCGTTGTGATGGACCGGCTTGGTGCTAGATTCGTTTCTTCAACGAATGCTAGTCCACCGAAGCAGCAAGCTGATTATCTTCTCCACCGCCTCGCAGGTTGAGGCCCATAACCCCCTGGGCGACGGTAGACTTGCGGTACTTGAAGACCGCCGGCATCATTCCATTGGTGGACAGAGCAATGCCAAGGTACGATTGCATGTACAGGATGCATTGTGCGTACTGGGGTTGATAGATAAGGTCAGGAAGTCCCTGATGCGGTCGGATGTGCTAGTCCGGACCGTTGTCGCAGGATATCACGTGACTCATACATTGGTGCATCCCGATGTCTCTTAGCTCGGACGCTGCCGAGATGTCCGTCGATCGTCAGGACAGTCATGTGATTGGCTATGTTGAAGCAAACCTTGGAAGCTTGTATCAGGTCCGCCAAATGTACAGCGGATGTATGTAACGTCTTTTCTCCAGCTTAGACCTATTCCCTCGACGGACATGTAGGGATAAGCAATCCTGCTGAATGTGCGACCATTGTCTCATGTGCTCATGCGAGCATCACGAACCAAGTCTTCCAGAGCTCGCGAGTATTGGCTTCTTCACATCATCATGGTTCTGTGCAGCTTGTCCCTGGACACGAATGACACGGGTTGCGCCGAACAGCTCCCAATCCGGGCACGGGAAACTCGTGATGATTCTGTACTCAAACCACGATGGTCAATCATCACATGCTTCTTTTACATCACTACCCACATTATGTGTTGTATCTCAAATCATGCTTTAGTCCATTCCTTGTCGACGTTCTCACCGATCCGTCGAACCACGAGCCAAGCCGGATACAACGAAAATGCCCACAGTCCGAAATTGATGTATGTGCAGCCGACCTCGCCCATGATTGCGATGCTGCCCAAGCCATATGAGACGGCTTGAACAGCACTCTCTGATCCACGGAGCAAACCAGAATATCGAATGATCTCTGCCTCGTTCTTCGCAAGGCTGGCAACAACGAAGTATAAGTACATATAGTTCAGTTGGAACCCGATTACTTGCAGGAGGAACCAGGCAAAACCACTTCCAAAGCCGGCATCAACCCAGTCATAGGTCGGTCGAGTCTTGCGGTACTGAGTCACCAACACTGTTCCCCACAGCCACCAGGCACCCTGCAGAGTGAGGACAACGATGAATGCCCATCGGCTGTGTAGCCGCATGGATAGCTTTTTGTTGTCGAGGAACGCTCCAAGCACGTTGCCTCCAATCAATGCGACGATGCCGGACAGGAATGAAGCCAGCGCTCTGGCGCGCACCGTAAACCAGAGACCCTGAAAGGTGAAGTAGACTGATTCTGCGAATACTGCCTGAGCGATCAAGGGCAAGATCAACAAGAAAGGTTTCCCAAGAAAAAGCCTGCCAGTATCTGCGAGCTCTTTCAACGTATTCTGGCTTCTGTCGATGCCACACTTGACGATCGCTCCATCGGTTCGCTCCACCTTGCTCGGTGCTGTGATGAACAGACCAATGAACGGTGCAGCAGCCTGGATCGCAATAAAGACGAGGTAGACGTCGAAAGAAACTGAGCCAGAGTAGTTTCGGTTCGAATTGAGACTAAGATTGACAGCACCTCCAAGGATCTGCCCAGCTACCCGAAAGCTCAGCCACACGCCGAGGAAGCGGCCCTGGTTGTACGGTTCGGGATATGACATGGCAATCGCAGCCTCAGCCATCCAGAAAATGCCGGCACCGAGACCACAACATGCAGCACCGAAAAGAACAAACCAAGCACTCCCGAATCGGTTGTTGCAGTATAGACCAGCAGCGAAGGGGCAATAACCGGCGGCTCCAAGCACCAGAGTCCACCGAATGCCGATATACTTCACAAACACTCCGGAGAACGCGCAAGTGAGCACCATCAAACAGAAGGTCAGGGCATTTGCAGTATTGACCAAAAACGGACTCTGCTCGCCGCCTCCGCCCAAAGCATTCATCGCACCCCAAATACCGGGAGCGCAGAAGTTGCATAGTCCGAGGATAATTGCATTGTAGTATGTTGATCGGTACCACTTGACCTTGGCACGAGGTAAGGTTTGTTCTTCATGCAAAGAGTTATCACTCGCGTCAGAGACGGCTCCCTTTTGATCGCTCGACATGGTGTAGTAGGGTTTCAGATGGAGAGAAAAAGTTGTTGATATCGGACCTGCGGGCTTGTCACAAGGTGCTGAACCGGAGGTTCCGGTAATCTCAACGACCTTGCATTGCGCATGTCCTATATATGACTATCGTGTTTCCATCTTGTCTTGTACGGCACAGTCTCGGTTGAACCTCGTACGTTCGATATCGAGTAGTTGTTTGCAGCATTTGACCCTGTAAGCTGCTCCTTCGCACGCCATCGCCAACTTCGATTTCGTCACCAACACAAGATAGGGCACCGGCTACAATCTTCCGCGTAATCGCTCGCGCCCACGAATCGCGTACATCAACCACACAATGATGAAGCTCGTATTCATATTGGTCGATACCCATTTGCAAGGTTGTTCTTCGGACAAATCCTCGAAAGTGGCAATTGGAAAGCGCACTTCTATCTAGGCCGCTGGAAACTTCGAAGCCGTCGCCTGATTCCATGATCACGACATCGAAAGCTCGTCTCGACTTGCTGGCATTGGAATACCTCGAAGAAGATTAGAACGAGAATCTCTGCAGGAGAAGCGTGTTTAATTTGACCGTGCCACGTGTGTTTCGCCCACAATTGCGTGTTCGTGATGCTTGCGAGAGCGACATCCGCTTGAGCTTTTGATCCGTAGGCAAAGTGGAGCTTCGAGCTTTGTGTGCGATAGTGGACCTCTGACGCAACCTCTGTGTACAAATCCACCATGTTGGACAATGTGCTATTTATCGTTCTGGCGGCCGAGCACGCTACCTCGATACCTATTCATCAACTTACTTGTCCCACAAAATGTCGACGACCACTAAGAGCGGTGCTCGCAAGCAGCCATGGATCATGAATGCCTTCGCCATGACGGCACCGGGTCATCTCGCGCCAGGTATTGCATGCGGCGTAGGTATTTTCGTAGTTGGATATAATCGCTCATGGCATTCCTTGTTCAGGATTGTGGAGACATCCGTCACAAGAAAAGCAGACACTGGATCATTGGGTCCAGCTGGCAAAGACGCTCGAGACGGCCAAATTTCACGGTATAATCAAAGTCACCAACAACTTCAGGACGTGCCATAGCTGACATCGCGTCACCGAGGTAGGCATATTCTTTGCTGATGTGTTGGGCATCTACGATGTGTACAAAGGTAACGGACCTGCATTGCAAAGCGGAGCTCAAGTTCCCCATCTCGATATCGCTTTGCTCATCTCAGCATTGGCGCACGCGACCTCGCACATCTCATTTGGTATCACCACATCAACATCATACGACCATCCATATGCCTTGGCTAGGAAATTCTCCACGCTCGATCACATCACCAACGGTCGGATCGGATGGAACATCGTGACAAGCTACCTTGAAAGTGCCGCAAAGTCTTATGGGCTTGAAAAGATAGTCGAGCATGACGAGCGATACGCCATCGCTGATGAGCTATTAGAAGTATTCTACAAGCTCGTCGAGGGCAGCTGGGAGGACTCGGCGGTCGAAGCGAACAAATCCAATGGCGTCTACACTTTACCGGCGAAGGTGCACCCCATCAACCATGCAGGGTAGGTAAACGGACGCGGTCATGATGTTCTTAGCAAAGGCTGACAGAGACAGGAAATACTTCAAATGCCAAGGCCCGAACCTGGTGGACCCATCTCCACAAAGAACGCCGTTTCTGCTGCAAGCTGGTGCCTCAAAGGCTGGCAAGACGTTCGCGGCAACACATGCTGAAGCTATGTTCCTCCCGGGCTTGGTCCCAGAAAAGGTCAGAGACATTGTCGACTCTATGAAAGCTCAACTTGTGGAAGTGGGCCGATCGAAAGATAGCATCAAATTCATTGCCGGAATTTTCATTGTTGTCGATGAGACCGACGAGAAAGCACAAGCGAAATTTGACGATCTTCTGCAATATGCCGATCTCGAGGGAACGGCTTGTTTGTTCGGTGGGTGGACTGGTACCGACTTATCCCAATTCAGTGACGACGAAGATTTTTCTTTCAAAGGCCCTCCGGCCATTCAATCGATGATTAGCGCATGGACAGCTACGGTTCCTGGCACGCAAGGGCTGAAATGGACTAAGCGAAGGGTGCTCCAAGAGCTCGCTGTGTCAGGCGCTCATGGTCGTGCGGTGGGTAGTGCAAAGACTGTAGCGGACATCCTGCAGAATTGGGTCGACGAGGCAAATGTCGATGGCTTCAATATCAGCTATGCCACCACTCCAGGCACCTTTGTGGACCTCATCAAGTACCTCTGGCCTGAGCTACGAGCCCGAGGCGTTCTGCAAGAAGAATATGCCGGTACCACCATGCGCGAGAATTATCTACAAGATGACAAAGGTCCTAGAGTACGACCTGACCATCCCGCATTAAAGTATCGGAACCAAATGGAGTGATTGAATGCTCCTGACTGCAGTAAAGCGCTCTAGTTGGTCTTATATATCAGAGCTCGGATCCATGGTGTTCCAAAACTTGCATAAGTCACAAATTGTCCGAATTAGAGTCCATTGCAGGTCATGTCGCCCAGGGTAAATCAAAAAAATGAAAAAGTACCAACCTCTCGAGCGGGTGTAAATGGAGATAATAAAGGAGAGATATCTCGAGGGTCCATCGCCGATGCCATCGGATACTCAGAATCTGGCGATCGCCGTGATCGTAGGGGCGTTCCGGGTGGCGTGAGCAGATCCTCGTCGGGAGGCTTATAGTAACAGGCGAACATGCTCGCTGACTTCGCGGAGCTGTGATGCGAGATCGATAAGGAGTCAATGTGATTGGACTGGGAATGGATAAGTCCATTTGACGGTAGTGAGCTTGGTTGCACATCCGCGACCTGACCGGGATCCCTCAGGTTTGCCACGAGCTGCACTTCCGCAAGCTTTACGAAATGCGCAACGCTGTCGAAACTATCAAGCTCTTCTGCGTCTCGCTTATCAGGCTCATGGATTCTCCTGTGAGTAGCGAAGCGCAGTGGAGTGCTACTCGCTGGTATCTTCCGCACGAAGGCTCGGCGTCGCTCGTGATATCGCACCGATCTCGCACTCCAGAAGTCAAGACTCATCTCCTGAAGCTCCCTGGCTCGGGCTCGTGCTAGTGCGGGCTGCGACAAGTCGACACTTCGCTTCCAGAAGCCACGCTTGAGTATACCAGGTTTGAGCATATATGCGATATGCGATCGAATGTAATCATCCAGAGTGGTACCGGTGCCAGGAAAAACATAATCCACCAACCCGGCAGACTGTGCTTGCTGCGCATCCATGGGAAGCATTTCTCGAATAATCTTTTGCGCTTTCAGCTCGCCACATCGACCAGAATAGGAAAGCGTGTGATATTCTGATCCGAACAGTCCAACAGCTCGATATGCAGGGTTGAGCACCACACTTGAACCCGAAATGACCACGTCACAAGCCGCGGCAAGAGCGACACCGCCAGCCGCGGCGTTCCCTCGCAAAGCTGCAATGGTAACAATGCCATGAGCCGGGAACTCGTATAGGATATGGTGAACGACGTCGTTGATTCTATTGATATTCAGCCACGACTCTGTGGCTGGACATATGGCCGATTCGATAACGTTCAATGCAATCCCGTTGCTGAAATAGCTACCTCCCATGAGAACGACGGCTTGAATAGGACTCTCATCGGTCGACTCAGATAGTATGAAGTCCATTGCATCGATCAATTGCGAGCATTGATCGGTAGACATGGCGCCGTTGTAAAAGTTGAAATAAAGGTATGCCGTCTTCGAAGAGCCCTCATGAGGCTGCATATCGATCCAGATTTCTTGGAAGCTTGCGTACGGAACAGCGGACCATTGCCCGGGCAAGGACCAGCGGAGACGAAAGATATATTCTTGCTTTAGGATGCCGAGTACCAGCAGGCCCATGATAGCTGGAACCTTGGGCCAGAGAGCCTGATCACTTCGACTTTTGGGGCGGCGAACATGAGTGATCCAGACGCCCTTGCCATCAAATGTAGAAATACAGACGGCATTGTTGCGTACACCCAGGATCTCGACTCTCATGCCTGGGACGGACGTCGGCAGTAGTCCGGCAGCATTGTCGTCGATCATGCCACCGTACACGTACAACGCAATGCCGAACATTTTCGTCAATACTCCAGGCTGCGAATCGCTGCTACGGATGCGGCGCGATATGAGCTGAGCGTCGTGTCTATCAACGCTGAATGCGCGCTGCGCAGCTCTGAGGAGCGGCCTGTGGTGCACTCTGCCGCCTTGGAAAATGCGATTGTCCCCGAGTGAGATCCTGCCATACTCAGGACGTGGTCGCAACAAGGGCGAAAAAGGTACATTTTGATAACGAGATTGCACTTCCCCAAAATCTTCTGCCATACGGACACGTTGTATGGCTGCAATGGTCGCGTCGAGCGCAGCTTGAGTGACGGCGCCGAAGTAAAGGGTGGATTTGGTCAACCCAGGCTGATCGATATCTACTGGAAATTGCTCAAAAGCCCAGACTGGACCAGCATCAAACTGTTCAATGGCCTGCAACACGGTGACTGCCCAGAAGCTACGGCCGGGCCTGCACGGCAATGAGTTGAGGTCATCTAGTAATCGAGTAGAGTCGTCGATGGTGCCATCGTCACCCATAAGAAGCCAATCCAAGGAGCTTGGTCCGATATCACCGGGCGGGCCCGCTGTAGCAGTGTTATTTTGCGTTTTTGCAAGATTCGTTGGTGTGAACTCACGATGTATCACCAAGGTGAGGATCTTCTCGTGAACTTCCCGTGGGATGGAGACGGTCAAGAATGGACAAATGATTAAATCAGGGGCAGCAAGTGTGACAGCAGAGATGATGACATCGTCCGAGAGAGCCAATTCGATTGTGACGTGATAAAAGCGCGACAAGGCCAGGTAGAGACGCTGTGAGAGGGAATTGTGCGCAGTACACAGGAAAAGAATCCGCATTTTTGCCGGCGACGTTGACGATCGAAGGAGTTTGTGTCTATGCCTGTGCAAGTACTTGTGGATGTTGGAAACATATATACATGCTCTGCCGTGGTATTAAAAGCTTGTATGACATGTATTGTATCAATGAAATGAATGAACGGCGATGTTGTTCAGTCACACGAAGTCTAATCACATCGACAGATAGACCAGCATCGGAGTCACTTGTCATCTGGGCGGGCCATCATGTCGGGAAACAAAGGTTGCAAAGCATGGCTTCTAAACAAACGATCACTACGTCTTCAAATTGCATCCGGAATACTTCCGATATAGTCCCGGCATTCGCTCGCACAGTTCGGGCTCATGATGATGGAACTTCGATAGCACCACGGCTACAGATGCTGAACGTTGTACGATAAACGCAGGGGGGGGCTGTAGCCGAGTTCGCGTGCACCTAGGGATCAGGGAACACTGGAGGCCAATTATGGCGTCTACGATTTTAGTGCTATTGGAATGCTCCCCAATGGGCGTTGGAAGACAACTTCCGTACGGCGGACCACGCAGCATCTCCATAGAGTGCGGTAGCAATGTGGATGCTGTCGCGCGATCGTCAGTATCGCAAGCAATCGTTGTCGCACAGGTTGTCACGGGATTTGGATCAAAGAAATCTCCTTGAGTCGCGTCGATGCTAGCTGCGCACGTTCGCATATCTGTCGAAGCTCGTGGCGATGCTAGAGCCAGGTAACTCCACTCTCTAAATCGGATCTCTGGGTCAGGATCAGTCTCAACAGAGGCGACTTGGCGGCATTTGGCGGCGATCAGGATTGATTTTTGAAAGCAATTGTTACACCGATTCGATATTCGATACGCGATCGATGTTTCGTCATAAAACGACACGTTTCTCGTTTTGATTGAAATCGACATCGAAACAATCGCAAAATCGGATCTTCTGCCCGAGGAAGTTAGTTGCAATAGCTATACACACGTAACGTGGCTATAAGCGAGCTACCTGAATCGTTTGGCAAGCGATGTCACTGAGGTCGGTATTTATGACACCGCGATTTGCCCCGTTTGTGTTTTGAGCAGCTTCACACGTCCCACCATCTTTCATGCAGGTCTCGCAGGTCATTAGCCTCGGAAAGTCGAAGGTGTAGTGTCACATCGCTGTCATGGTCTTTTTCTTTCTTGGTCTGCCCGGCTCCGAAATACGCAAATCTATTTGTTTTGTTTTCGTATGTGTATTCGAAATCCTCCCATCGTGGCTCTCGGCGTACATGACTGAGGTGCAGTGCACTCCCAGGCCAGTGCCCGTGGATTCTTTTTCCAGCCTTACCGCCGTTAGACCAAGAGCTACAATTCTGGCTGAGGGTCATACGAGGAAACATCGCGTCGCACCAAGCGACAAAGTCATCAGTCGCCGCTTTTGACGGTACCACAGTAGATATGCCTTGCGTTGAGATCTTGCGAAGCATTTTGGCGATGTACGCTACCTGTGTCTCTACGGCGTATGGCACAGTCCCGGAAACGCCGCTTGCAGTGGGACCGAGTAGAAAGGCAAGGTTGGGGAACCCTGGTGTGTACGTTCCCAGGTACGTATACGGCCAGCCGAATTTACCATCTGGCGACCAGTCGCGTGAAAGATCGAAACCTCCAGAAATAATGGGGAATGGCGGAGCTCGGTTTATATTAGCTCCGGTAGAGCATATCACCGCGTCTGCTAAGCGAAGTTGTCCATCCGTTGTGATGATTCCCTTCGAGGTAAACTTCTCGATGGGCGTTTGGATCAGCTCCACGTGAGGTTTCGTGAGGGCTTCGAGGTACCCGGGACCAGGCGTGAGTCTGCGACAATTTGGTGGGAAATCTGGTAACAGTTTTTCCAGAAGTCCTGGCTTGTTGACAAGTCGATTGTGCATCATTTCTGTAAACTTCTCTCTGGAGTTTTTGTTGACCTCTGAATCGAGCAAGTAACCGTCGAATGAGCGGAAGAACGTGGCTTCGACTTCTTTTCGGTAACTCAGGTAGATCTCGGCGTCGTTGAAAGAATCCCGTTTTTCAACTGGAATGACCATCGGCATGTCCTGACGATCCCGAACGCCAGGTGCGAATGATCCCGCTATCCAAGTGCGGCTGCGAGCATAATGGTCCACGTGAGCAGCAATTTTATGCAGCTCGGTAGTGACTTGAATGCCTGATGCTCCGTTCCCGATAGTAGCAATTCGCTTTCCCGTCGCATCAAAAGGGGTCCAGTTCGACGAATGAATGATCGGACCTTCGAACTCATCCATTCCTGGATAATCTGGGAGTTTCCAGTTGTTGAAAACGCCGATAGCAGTAATGACAAAGTCGAAACTTTCGGCACGCTGACGACCATCGACGAGGTCCTTGAGAACCAACTTCCATTTTGCAAGATCGGGAAACCATCGAGCCTCTTCAACTTTTGTCTTAAAGCGAGTGATCGCTGGGAGATTGTGTTTCCGCGCGAGGTGTTGCCAATAATTGCGGATCTCTGCGCCTTGTGCATACTCTAAATCAAACCGTCAATGTGAGGAATGGCTAAATGACCGGGTTCGTCTACCTTCGGTCCATTGCGTGTTTGGGTCGAACGTGCTCTGATAGACATGCGCCGGTATGTCGCAGCGCCTAGGCGGTTAAGCATCAGTCAAGCTCCTCATATCAACGGTGAGCTGAAGCACATACACGCCAGGGTAGATGTTCTCGAACCAGGTACCCCCCTTGTGGTCTCAGCAAAAATCACCAACTCATAATTATGTACAACTCACATAGTCAGCGTTCTTCTCTAGAATGGTTAGGTCTATGCCAGGCACCTTGAATGTGAAGGTTAGCTTGCTCAAAACCATGCGCTAAGACATGTGGGCAGAGACTTTAATCGGTAATAGTATTCCCGCTGTAATGCCTGTCAGACCTGCTCCAATGACGGCGACCTACGCGCTATCAATACAAAAGAATTCGAGTGCTCGAGGTGCGGACTCGTCAGACCTGCAAATTTCGAGGCTCGTCGATATGACGCTCTTCGTTGATCTCACATGTGGTCGGAAAGGGATACGACCACGATTTGGTCGTGGAGCTCTCAGGATGCCTGCTGTCAGAACAGTCACCCTTGGGCGCCGGCTCATTTCGCTCCATGATCTTTGGCAGATGCTCGAATCAGTAGACGAACACTTGATCTCGCGCGGCAAGACTTCTTCGCCTACATAAGACGAAGAGGGGATATGATACGCAAGCACACTCCAGACTTGGGATGCAGGGCTTGATCACGGCATCAAGTCGAATTGTTGCGACACTAGAACCTGAGGCTAAAAAGATGTGGCAGTAGTGGCAGACGCATCGTCCTTACCATTGGAAAACATACACTTCCAAGGTTGGTTCATAAAGCACTGCAGTTAACCTTGGAAGTCTCCGATTGCGGGTGATCGCGCCTTCACGAAGTCCGCATGCATCTGTATAGAATGTATTGACAGCCCTCAAGTGTAGCAAAGCGCTGACACAGTGTCAAATTGTCCATGAGTCTTTCAGCTTTTCTTTAAGCGACCTCTCCTGTGCAGACAAGCTGCGGTCAGATAGACCCAATGGTACTGTCGCTTATTTGCAATCACAGCGAGGCGCAATGTAATCATGTCGAACTCTGCTTCCGTGCTGTTATCACATAGATGCTCGATGGTTGTTGCAGACAGATGTGTTCCAGACGAGTCAGTTTTGACGGGAAGATCTAACTGCTGGCGAAAGGCTGTAATTGTTGCCTGAGGCGACCAGAATCTGTGACCGACTCCCCGCATGTGATTGCCCGCAATCACTCAACACGCTTCGTCGCGTGTCGCGTCAACTGAAATTCGAGGTCCATCGTTGGCGGGCGAATGTCTATGAGCCCTTGGGACGTTAACTCACTCGCAAACAGACTTGATCAGGAAAGGCGACCGTGTATCACCATCTTTATCCTTGCGACTCTATAAAATGCCGCATGCGACATCACTGGAAGCGGATGCAAAGATGTCTGGCGAAGACTCGTCTATGCCTGATACACAGATGACGAATGACGACAGTCAGGAAAACCCAACAGAACAGGACACTGAAATGGTCGATCAGCCAGTCAACGATGCTCAAGCCTCAGCTACCGCATTGGAAAACATGTTCGATGATGACGACGATGAAGATTCTGAAGAATTCTCATCGAGTGCTCCGATAAAGCCAGAGGACCAACAGTCACGGCCACCAACAACCTCGCAGCCGAGATATGCAGAGCCCGATACTCTCAGGCAATTTTATGGACGATTGTTTCCATTCCGTCACCTCTTTCAATGGCTGAATCATTCTGCAACTCCCAAGGCGGACTTCCAGAACCGCGAATTCTCATTCTGGCTCCCCGGCAACAGAGTCATTCGCTACCTAGCTTTTCCATCGTCCGACTTGTTGCGCAAGCAGTGCATGCAGATGACGCCTGAGCGTTTCGAAATTGGCCCACAGTACAACATGAATCCCAAAGATCGAAAGACGTTAAAGAACTCATCCGCCTTCAAGCCCGTCATGAAAGAGTTGGTCTTCGATATCGATATGACAGATTATGATCCGATCCGAACATGCTGTCAAGGGACAAAGATCTGCATCAAATGTTGGCAATTCATCGTCATGGCCATCCGAGTTGTTGACGTCGCTCTGCGTGAAGACTTTGGATTCAAGCACATCATGTGGGTGTATTCCGGTCGAAGAGGAGCGCACGCATGGATTAGTGATAAAAGAGCACGTGAGATGGATGACCAAAAGCGGAAAGCTGTTGCGAACTACCTCGAGGTCCTCCGAGGCAATGAGCAAGGGAAACGACACGCACTGAGACGCCCGTTGCATCCACATGTTGAACGATCTTTAAAGATCTTGACACCATATTTCCAAAATGAGGTATTGGCCGATCAAGACCCATGGGAGACGAGCCCACAGGCAGAAAAACTGCTGAATCTCCTATCCGATAAATCCTTGACCACGGCGTTAAAGAAGAAGTGGGATTCAGCTGCGTCGGAACGAAGCTCGAATCAAAAGTGGGCCGATATCGATGCAGTTGCCGAAGCTGGTAACCTCTCGACCTTTTCCACCAAACAATTAGTCGAAGCAAAACAAGACATCCGTCTCGAATACACATACCCGCGTCTTGACGCTGAGGTCTCGAAGAAGCTGAATCATTTGCTCAAATCGCCCTTTGTCGTTCACCCTGGTACAGGTCGAGTCTGTGTACCCATCAATATCGATGAGCTCGACAAATTTGATCCATTTGAGGTCCCAACAGTGACGGAGTTGCTCCAGGAAGTTGATCAATGGGATGCTAAAGACGGTTCGACTCTCAGCGAAGAGGAGAAAGCGAAGGTTCAGGACTGGCAAAAGACAAGGCTGAAGCCATATGTCGACTATTTCCGAGGTCATGTCGCTCGATTGTTGCAGGAAGAGAGCAAAGGCAAGCGGAGCAGGGAAGATGCCGCCGACAGCATGGAATTCTGAAGAGCATACACGGCCTGGCGAATCTTCGAACGACACACGTTCACTCAATCTGAAACCACATCCAACGCACATTCTCTCGGAGGCATGGGACATATGCAAATACGCTCTTTGTGTGTGTTGACCACGATTGTCGGCGTCTGATTTACGCTGGCTATCATGCGAGATGACGAGCTCCCAATTTGACACTTCTTTGGTTGGCGGCGTCGAGTTCAAATCGGTATATCATAATCTCGTGGTCCTTCGGTGCTAAACAGAACTACAACCATATCATTCCGCTCTTCTCGGCTCAAAGTCACGAGGTACTTTCGCATGGCGGACAACGTAGCTGCCCCACAAGGCCCTGCATTTATGTCAATGGCTCGCAAAAAGCAAACGCTCTCGTGTGCTTCTTTCTCATTGACGACCAATGCAACAGAAACGCCATCGCGCAAGACCGGGAAAGCAATGCTGGAAGGTGTGCCACAGCACATACCAGCCATAATTGTGTGGCCCGTTGAGATCGCTCGAAGCTTTCCGCAGTGAAGAGATTCCTTCAGACACGCTGCAGCTTCCGGCTCGACCGCTATGATGCAACTATTTGGGTCTGCCGCTTTGTAATGCATAACGACAGCGTGCGCCCATGAGCCTACGCCCACGGAAACGAAAAAGGTGCTCGCCTTCTGTCCATTCGTGAAAGAAGATACTTGCCGATCAGTTTCGGCAAGAATGCTGGTGTAGCCGTCAACGACCCACTGAGGCAACCGTCGTCAGAGCGCAAGTTTTCAATTAAGCATTCAGCATTTACCTGTGGAATCCGCTCGTAGCCCTCCCAACTCGTGTCCATTATCAACGATGCCCCAGTACGCTGGGCGTCGTCTCTGGCGGCAGCTATACAATCGTCGTATGTTCCATCATCGAGAACGATGACTTCAGCGGACTCAACGCGCAGTAAATTTCTCGTGTATTCGCTCATCAAACCTGGGACATAGATTGTCGTAGAGATATCAAGAAACTTGGCCATTTTTGTCAGTGCGCGGCCCCAGTTGCCTTCGGTGCATGCCACGATTCTGACCGCCGGCATGGACGCATTGCGATCAGAAACCGCACGTCGCATGATTTCCAACGAGGTCGTAGGAGGAAGCCTCAATATCTCGCACACGGTGCGATGAACAGCCCAACTTGCACCCAGAATCTTGAACGCCGGAAGTCCAAAGCGTGTACTCTCATCTTTGAGGAAGACACGGGCCACGCCTAGCTCGGCAGCCAGTGAAGGCAGATGATGAAGCGTGGTCTCAGCGTAGTCTGGCAGGTGTCGGTGGAAGGCCTCGATGGCAGGATCAACAGCATAAGTTTCCCATCTTGCCTTGTCACGGATGTGATGATTATTAACCAGTATCGCCGGTCGCTCGTGTTCTTCGCCACTATGCAGATGCTTGACTTTATACGCGGACATGAGAGTGATTTTTAGTGTGATGTGACAATGTGTATTGCAGACACTACTGTAATATGCAGAACCGGGGAAAATTGCAATAAACAACACAAGTTATAAACCCGACAGCTGAGAACTCGGCCCTGCCACATGCAGAAACATCGATGATCCGTCTGAATGACACTCATTTCCGACGCTCTCGTCGATGGGATGTTCTGTTCATGCTCATTCGCATAGTGACACGGACTGCAGGCATTGTCGGAAGAACAAGCCCGGTGTAGCAACGTCTCGCGCCCTGTGATTCCTTATGCAAGAGAAGCACATGTAAAAAAAGAGCCGAAACGACCCTAGCCATCTGGTCATGACGTGAGGCTGTAGTGGGGCACTGAGGTGTAAGCGGCGATGGGTGCGAATCGTCTCGGCCACCGACCAATGGCCTTCCCAGATACGCATGTCCTGGGTGGATTGGGAAAGGTTGTTATGAAACCTTATTTAGTCATTGTTAGAACATTACTGGCCTGTCCATGGTCGACGTCTCGCCGACTTTCATTTCTTTCAGGTGAAAATAAGAACCGTGGGTGGCCGGGCACCTAGGCTCCCACTTCATCTACAAAAGGTCTATTTCTCAGGCTTGATATTTTGCGAGACGTGTCGGTCTTTGCATTGAACCTTTGGCGTTGAATCATAAAATGGCGGAAGATGGCACAACCGCGGGAGGTCGAGGCATCCGCATTGCCATCGACCGCGGTGGCACTTTCACTGACTGCGTCGGTAACCCTGGCTCGGGAAAGATGGAGGACGACGTGGTCATCAAGTTGCTGTCGGAGGATCCCGAAAATTATGATGATGCTCCACTTGAAGGCATTCGGCGACTTTTGTCTCGATTCTTGAACAAAGAAATTCCACGCGGTGAGCCGCTCGACACTAGCAAGATCGAGAGTATCCGCATGGGCACTACCGTTGCCACCAACGCACTATTGGAACGACGCGGAGAGAACATTGCTATGGTCGTAACGAAAGGGTTCAAAGACTGTCTTGAGATCGGCACGCAACAACGACCCAAGATCTTTGACTTGGCTATTCGAAAGCCAGAAACACTCTACAAGCAAGTTGTAGAGATCGACGAGCGAGTCACGCTTGAAGACTATGCAGAAGACCCAAAGAGAAACAAGACCGAGATCCGAACGGACGAAGGAGCAGATGAGGGCGCTGAGCTGGTTCAAGGCTTGAGCGGCGAGACGGTCAGAATTCTGAAAAGGCCTGATGCTGCGACAATCATGGAACAACTACGAAAGGTGTTTGATTCAGGCTTGAAAAGTATTGCGGTATGTCTCACGCATGGCTACACATATCCTTATCATGAGGCCTTGATTGGAAAGATCGCAAAAGAGATTGGATTCGAGCATGTCTCTTTATCTCACGAGCTCATGCCAATGATCAAATTGGTTCCAAGAGCTACGTCAGCTTGTGCTGATGCATATCTGACACCTGCGATCCGGAAATACATAGACGGATTCTCCAAGGGATTCGAGGGCGGGCTGGGATCTGAGAGTGTGAAGCGAGAGGCGGGCGCCAAAGGAGCTCGCTGCGAGTTTATGCAGTCAGACGGTGGTCTTGTTGACGTAGGAATTTTTAGTGGTTTGCGAGCCATCCTCTCCGGACCTGCTGGCGGTGTAGTTGGATATGCACTCACGAGCTACGATCCGGAGACTAAAACGCCCGTCATAGGTTTCGATATGGGAGGAACAAGCACAGACGTCAGTCGATACGGTAATGGACGATATGAACACGTCTTCGAGACCACCACAGCCGGGGTCACGATTCAAAGTCCTCAACTCGACATCAATACCGTTGCTGCAGGCGGTGGCTCCCGACTATTTTTTCGGAATGGATTGTTCGTTGTCGGGCCTGAGAGCGCTGGTGCACATCCAGGACCAGCTTGCTATCGAAAGGGAGGCCCGCTCACCATCACGGATGCGAACTTAACGCTTGGAAGATTGTTACCTGAGTTCTTTCCCAAGATTTTTGGAAAGAATGAAAACGAAGGACTAGACGAGGAAGCAAGCGCAGCAGCATTTCAAGAACTCACCCGGCAGATCAATAAAGAGATTACCAGCGAGGGAGAAAAGGAAATGAGTTCTGATGAGGTCGCATTCGGCTTTATCAAAATCGCCAATGAGACAATGACCCGACCGATTCGATCACTGACGGAAGCTAGAGGCCATGACACTAGCAAGCACCGCCTTGCTACCTTTGGTGGTGCCGGCGGACAGCACGCCGTGGCCATCGCAGAGGCTCTGGGTATCAGTCAAATCTTGATCCATCGTTATTCTTCTGTTTTGTCTGCTTATGGCATGGCTCTTGCGGACGTGGTTGATGAGCGTCAAGAGCCAGAATCGAAAGTGTGGTCAGATACGGATGCCGACGTTCGGACATACCTCCAGGGGAAGATGGAAGACCTCAAAAAGAAATCCAGTGCTACACTGAACAATCAGGGTTTCAACGACGACCAGATTCGGTTTGAAGAATATCTCAATATGCGCTATCGAGGAACAGAATCGGCTCTCATGATCGTCAAACCTGACGCAGAAGAGACCAAGAACGAGTATAGTGGAGATGAGTGGGCATATGGTCAGGCGTTCGTGAAGCAGCACGAACAAGAGTTTGGTTTCACTCTGCCTAATCGCGATATTATTGTGGATGATGTGCGAGTTCGCGGTATCGGGAAGACTTTCGAGGGTCTCGAAAAGACTGTGGATCAACAACTGAAAGAAGTGAAAGCAAAAATCCTGGCGAAAGGAGAGAAGGTCCACGGCACCAAGTCCGTATATTTCGAAGGCGGGCGGCAAGAGACCAATATTTACAAGCTGGAAGATCTTGCCATTGGCGATCGGCTACTCGGCCCAGCTATTATCGCTGACGGTACTCAGACTGTTGTCGTGACTCCGAAAGCTTCTGCTTTGATCATCCATACTCACATTGTGATCAACATCGGCGAAGCTACCGAAACGAGCAACAAGATTAGCACACAGAAGGTTGATCCTATCATGCTCAGTATTTTTGCACATCGTTTTATGGCAATCGCAGAACAGATGGGCAGGGCATTACAGAAGACTAGTGTGAGCACCAATGTCAAGGAACGCCTGGACTACTCCTGTGCACTCTTCGACGCAAACGGAGGTCTCGTCGCCAATGCACCTCATCTTCCTGTACATTTGGGCAGCATGTCTACTTGTGTGAAGAAACAAGCTGCCATCTGGCAAGGAAAGTTGAAGCGGGGAGACGTCCTGGTCTCGAATCATCCCATGTTCGGTGGTACTCATCTGCCGGACATCACTGTCGTTACGCCGGCATTCGACGGTGATGAAATCGTATTCTACGTCGCATCTAGAGCTCACCACGCTGATATTGGAGGAATCTTGCCTGGCTCAATGCCTCCGCATTCGCGGGAATTGATTCAAGAGGGTGCGCGTATTGAGTCTGAAAAGCTGGTTTCTGAAGGACACTTCAATGAGGAACGGATTATCGAGATTTTGCTGAAAGAGCCGGCTAAGTATCCGGGCTGCAGCGGTACAAGATGCCTGAGCGACAATCTCAATGACCTAAAGGCACAGATTGCAGCAAACCAAAAGGGCATCAATCTCATCTCGACTCTTATTGAGGACTATGGTGGTGACGTAGTCCAGTTCTACATGAAGAACATCCAGGAGAATGCAGAGCTCAGTGTTCGAAGCCTTCTGAAGGAAGTCAGCAAGCGCTTTGAAGGCCAGGAATTATTTGCCATCGACTACATGGACGATGGAAGCCCGATCCAGCTAAAGGTCACCATCGACGCCGAGAAGGGCGAAGCGATATTTGATTTTGACGGCACAGGCCCTGAGGTATACGCAAACACCAACGCTCCTGAAGCCATCACATACAGTGCGATCATTTATTGCTTGCGCTGCCTCATCAGTGAAGACATTCCACTCAATCAGGGTTGTCTCAAGCCAATCGACGTCCGCATCCCCAAGAACTCCTTTCTCTCGCCATCAGGGACAGCAGCTGTTGTCGGCGGCAACGTTCTGACCTCCCAACGTGTCACTGATGTCGTTCTCAAAGCTTTCCAGGCGTGTGCTGCAAGCCAGGGGTGCTGCAACAATCTGACGTTCGGCTTCGGCGGAAATGTCGAGGGCGAAGAAGAAGTCCAAGGATTTGGTTACTACGAGACCATCGCTGGTGGCTCAGGTGCAGGACCAACATGGGATGGCACCAACGGCGTGCATGTGCACATGACTAATACGCGTATCACAGACGCCGAGGTTTTCGAGCGGCGTTACCCGGTCATCCTGCGAGATTTCTCACTGCGTGCAGGCAGCCATGGGAATGGCCAACACCGCGGTGGCGATGGCGTCATTCGTGACATTGAGTTCCGTATTCCGATGCAAGTAAGCATCCTCAGTGAGAGGAGAGTGTATCGACCTTATGGATTGGAGGGTGGCGAGGACGCAGCGTGTGGGAAAAACATATGGGCTCGACACGTTGAGGAGATTGAGAACAGTGACAACGATGTCAAGGGAGAGGACACCAGCATCGCAGAACAGCTGGGCCAAACGACAAACCTCAGCTCAGGCGGTGCTTCCAATGTGCGCTATATCAACGTCGGTGCGAAGAACACAATGAGCATGAAGCCTGGCGAGCGTATCATTGTCATGACTCCAGGAGGTGGCGGCTGGGGCAAAGCCGGGGAGGAGAGCAAATCAACGCAGCAGAGTCGTCAAGATCCTCGCCATGCCTGGAAGGGCGGCAGTCTTGCAAGTCGGGCGTCGGAGGCCGAGGCGAGTTCGTAGATAATTAGAACTATCATCGGTCAATATGCTGGCCAAATTTCATCGACTTCTTCTCGCCAGCTCTTGAAGCCGCCTGCAACGTCCCTGATTTTGACATGCAGATCACTCTCCTCCAGAACCCGTCGTACTGCCAGCTGTGAGTCGTTTCCATAGCGACATATAATAAAACATTCTGGGCTTTCATTATTCAATAGACCAGAATCTTTCGCCTTGGTTAACCACGCGTCCGGTCGTCCATTCCAGGGGATGTTCGTGGAATCTGGCAAGGCGCATATGCCGAACTGTGTCTCATCGCGGACATCGATCAATGAAACTTTGCCTTGTTTGCATAACTGCGCGAAATCCTGGGTTCTGATGCGATACTCTGGTGAGAGGAGCTTCAGAGGACTAGTCATGCCACAAAACGTCAAGTAGTCAAAAGACCCGCTTTCCAGACTACTCCGCTGGACTGTCGCACTCGCTGAACAGGCTGCACAAGTGGCACTGCGGGCACGCATCCGTAATGAGCGGAATTGAGGCTGGCTGAATGCGGCAAAAAGCAAGAGAGTTGCTCTTGGCGCACCCTCAACGGGAACGGTCTGTTTCGTGAGTACTTTGATCGCTTCCAAGGCCTGAAGTACACCCATGGCTCCGACAACCGGACCCAGAACTCCGCCTTCTCCGCAGCTTACAATAGTCTCAGCTGGTGGTGGCTTGGGAAATATACATCGATAACAAGGTCCACCTAGTGGATCTCCAGGCGGTCGAGCTGGGTGATTTAGGACAATCAGCTGGCCGTCTGATTTGAGGGCTGCGGCCGAGACGAGTGGTCTGCCCGTCAACACACATGCATCGGATATGAGATATCTTGATGTCGGATGGTCTGTGCAGTCTAGCACGAGGTCGTATTGTTCAAAGGTCTTGATCGCCATCTCAGGGGTGAGGTGGACGGGGTAGCATTGATATCTCACAAGAGGATTCAAACTTAGATGAATAGCATTAGCAAGTATAATTCCTCATATTGACCGAAGAGATGCTTGTATGTCTGGACTACGTACGCTTCTAGATAAGTCTTTGCGCTTTCAACCTTGTGCATGCCGATGCGGTCGGTGGTGTGGGCGACCTGTCGATGCAGATTTGATACTTCAACGACGTCTCCGTCGATCAACCCCAGAGTTCCTACTCCGGCACCGGCTAGATACGCAGCCGCTGGACATCCGAGTCCTCCAAGGCCCACAATGAGGACCTTTGCATTTTTCAGCGAGAGCTGTCCTGAAAGGCCAACTTCACGCATTATCATAGCACGACCATAGCGCTGGAACTCCCCTCCAGTAAGCGGCCACTGTCCCTTGGCTGTGCTATGCACTTGGTCTCCATCATTAATGGTTTCATGTGCTGCTCCTTGCGCTGAATCCTGTGTAGATAACTCGACGGGGCGCACAATATGCGCTTCCTCTGCGGTCGCCAGTTCTGCCTTAAGGGCTCGGAGCTGTTTCTCGAGTGCCAGAACATTTGCGCGCAAACTGGCGACATGTGCATTTTCTTCGCCCATGCCAGGCAATCTCGTGAACTTCTATTCACTTATTGTCTTGCTGGTCGATGTTTGGAGCGTAATGTACAAAGATTGGGCGATTTGATATGCAAAAACTCTACCGAGTATCACCTGGGCACCTGCTTCAAAGTACTTTAGGGTTGATCTGGTGGCCTAGGCTAAAAAATCATAGAACAGGTGTACAGGAAAGCCGTAGCATCGTAAACTCAATAATGCTCATTCTGACGTGATGAAAGACCACCGACTTTTTTTCGTATCATGCTCTACAAACATGTGCAATTTTTTCAGTCCTCTTCAGGTGACAACGTGCTGCTCAGGATCATCGTGTTGATGCGGTCCTTCACCACATCGCGGCTCATTGCCTTCATTTTCAGCGCAGCACGAATTTCCTCAACGCTACGCATTTCCCAGCCTTGGTACTTCATATAGCTGAGCGGATAGAGTACTTTCGCTCCTCGCTCCACCATCCACACTTCGTTCACAGGTGCGGGCATACTCGTGAGTGCGTCAATGTCGTTGGCTATTTCGTGACAGTATGAATCAAGTGGTAAATCATTGACATCATGACCAAAAGGATCTTCGAGTTCTCGTCCGATCTGCGCAATTCCCAGGATCATATAGGCGCCCGCGACTGCTCCAGGAATGGCGACCCAGCCTAGCGGATCGACAAGCTGGAAGGGCAGCGCAAAAACGTATGCCCATGTGATTTGAGATATGGAGATAGAATATGCTATCGGCAGTGGCGTATTGAGCACTCTTTCTGCGCCTGATATGATCTCAGTGAGTGTGGCGAGCTGCATCATGGCCTGACCTTGATGTGCGCCCAGCGCTAGCGTCTTGTTCTGGAAGATCGACTCAATATATCCGGCCAAGTGCGTCAGCACCTCCAGTGGTGTGTTGCCCAAATTTTCCTTGGAAGCACGGAGCAGAGATCTTGGATTGGGCTGTGCGAACGGCAGTCCGAGATACTGGCCCCAAGCTAGCCAAGGCGAATGCTCCCGCTCGTGGAGCTTGTTTTGGTCCGCCATGCCGGCAAGCGTCTGAAGATTACCAACCAAAGGAGCGACATCAGGATACTCCAGCGATGGCTCAAAACGGAGGCGATGCTTCAGCGAAACGGCGAAAGCATTGATTAGATTCAAGGCCGCCAACTTGCCAAGTAGATCCGCCTTGCCCAATTCCTCCGATTCGCTGTGACGTTCTTGGGTATGGATCCAAATCAATCTTGAAAGATTGCGGCTCGTCATATGTAGCTGAGTCCAGAGTTTGCGACCATCGATGTAGCGTTCGTAGGCGGTGGTCGAGCGAAAGGAGAGCGACATACCAACCACGAAACCGGTCATTGTGAGGAGGACTGAGCTGATGCCGATGTTGTGAACAAATTTGTCTACAATGGTGATGGTGGTTGCCCAGATGGCAACCATCAGTAACGGAACGATCATCTTGGGAAGTATGCTGCCGTGGAGACGCATGAAAATCGGCCATTTGGAATGCTTGTGAATGTCGCGTGGTCCTTTGAAGTAATCACCCAACTCGATGTCGCGAGCTGTCGGGGCATGGTAGAAGGGGCTGAATTCGGACTTGATGCTGCTGGCCGATGTCATGATAACGATGTAGAAAGTGGCTGACGGGAGATGTCAGGAGGATCTCAGGTCGAGAAGAAGTCCGAGCCAGCGGCAATCTTGCTTTAGGAAGCAATGTTCCAAGAGTCCTGGCGTCAACTCAACACCAGATGGGAACTGCTCCTGCACATCAGCAACAATCGTTACAGCTCAAGCATCACCCAGGAATCGACATACCAAGGTGTCGACACGCTCACTGCGGCAAGCGCGACTTCTCGATTGCTGAGCAGGCCGCGGTCTCTTTGACCAGAATTGTGTTTGGAAGTTAAAAATAGATTGAGCAACAACGACCTCGGGATCTGTACCAAGATCACTACACGCGGCCAGTTCGACGATCGAATGATTCGCGATGGTTGCGATGCTTTTGCTCGACTCGGCACAGATCAAGAGAATTCCGACCTGCACGATTCTTGTAGCGATATGAACATGAAGCAGTATGAATAGTAAATGGTCGGAAATCTTCGCACATCAGTGTCCTTCGTTCACTCAGCCTGGCGGCGAGTGCGGCACAGTTCTCTACGACATGACACCTCCAATCATCGAGCGGGCGCACCAGAGCTGCATGCCATATGATCATCCCATCTTTAAGGTGATCTTTTTTTCGCCTATCACCATCGTCGGCGACATGGACTCATCGTGTCGAGGACTCCCCATGGTTGGGGTGTTCTGGGTGTGTGATGAGAGTTCAACTTGAACTTCAGGATTTCTATATTTGGATCTGTCCTGGCTTGTTTGTCATTAGTCCCAACCTTGGAAGGTCGTGATGTTGATCTGTTACGGTACACTATATTATATCCTCGTTTCCTCGTTCTGCTTTCTAGCCCTGGAGCCATGGAGCCATGGAGCCCTGGAGGTGAGCAGTGATGCAGGTGTGGAGAGAAACTGGTGGCTGGGTGGTGTCGGTCTACCGTAGTGTGCAGCCGAGCCGCGTCCAGGTGGTGGTCTCTGTGTCTGTCTGATCTGTCTCTTCCCCACACGGGGTTTCCGGCAATAAGCGAGTCAGTGTCCAGATAGCTTCATATTCCTTTCAGAGTCTTGCATAGCGTAGCTCTGCCTTGTCCTTTGCGACGAAGCGTACTCGTACAGTAATCCATCCAGCTCGAGGCTTTCAAGGTGCTTTAGCGAAGTCAGAGCCCAATCTTCAATCTCTCTTCTCAGCTTTTGCAATTGGGGGAATCATGCCGGTCAATTCTCCTTACCCAGATGTCGTTATTCCAGATTTGGATCTATGGGCCTTCATCTTCGATCGCAAAGACCGAGACTTTTCGGATGATCAAGGTAAGCGAGACCAGTCGCTTAGAGGTCTACGGGCATCGACTGATCTGCGCAGTAATCTATCGATCCTTCAACTCCGACAGGCACTACACCTTCAAGGACGTCAAGCAAGCCGCGACAGCGTTCGGTGAAGGTCTATGCAACCTGTGGGACTGGCAACGGGGTGACGTGCTGAACATCTATGCACCGAATGACATCGATGTCGCGCCCATCGTCTTCGGAACGTTCTTCGCTGGTGGAATTGTCTCACCGGCGAACCCAACGTACTCGGCTGCGGAGCTTGCTTTCCAATTGGAAAACAGCGAGAGCAAAGCCATTGTCACTACGAAAGCCTTTCTGAAAAATGCGCTGGCTGCTGCCAAGAAGGCCAACATCCCCGAGGACAGAATTATCCTCCTCGGGGAAGCGCGAGATGACACGCACAGAGTCAAGCACTGGAGCAATATCCGCAAAACCTCGGGTGCTCTGCGGTACCGTCGACGCAAGATGCATCCTGACAATGATCTCGCATTCTTGGTGTACTCGTCCGGCACCACTGGCTTACCGAAGGGTGTCCGTCTGAACCATCGTAACATTGTTGCCAACTTGTGTCAAATCGCTGGTAGTGCCACCGGGAAGGAGCTCACGTCCAAGGACAAGCTCCTTGGAGTGCTCCCCTTCTTCCACATCTACGGTCTGACGATGCTCCTCCATCAGGTCCTTCACCGAGGAATCGAGCTCATCGTGATGCCTGGCTTTGAGTTGAAAGGTTTCCTGTCCACAATTCAGAAGCACAAGATCACCTTTATCAACGTGGCGCCTCCGATTCTTGTGCGCCTCGCTCGCGATGAGATCGTCTCGCAATACGATCTTTCCAGCATCCGTATGCTCACTTCTGGTGCAGCACCCTTGACAGACGATCTCATCAAACAGATCAAGCAGCGCCTCAACATTCGCGTGACACAAGCCTATGGCCTGTCTGAATGCTCTCCGGGCACACACGTACAACGCTGGGAGGAGTGGGAGTCGTCCATCGGTAGCGTCGGTGTCCTGGTGCCCAACATGGTCGCCAAGTTCATGTCCCCCGAGGGCAAGGAACTACCTCCGGACCAGCCTGGAGAGCTGTGGGTGTCCGGACCGAACATCTTCCAGGGCTACTGGAAGAACGACGCGGCGACGGCTGACTGTCTGACGGTCGTCGATGGTGTGACATATTTCAAGACCGGCGACGTGGGCCGTCTGGATACCGCACACAACTTCTTCATCACCGACCGCGTCAAGGAATTGATCAAGTACAAGGGTTTCCAGGTCGCACCCGCCGAGCTCGAAGGCAAATTGATGGCGCACCCGCTCATCAACGACGTCGCCGTCATCGGCGTCCAGGACCGCCGCAACCACACCGAGATGCCCCGGGCATACATCGTGCACGCGCGCCTGGGCGGCAAGGCCGGCGATACCGAGACCGGGTTCCCCGCTGGCGAAGAGGCGAAGCGGGATGCGGATGCTATCACCAAGTGGTTGAGCGAACAGGTCGCCGACCACAAGAAGCTGCGAGGCGGCATCCGATTTATCCCGGAGATTCCCAAGAGCGGGACCGGCAAGATCCTACGACGAGTGCTCAAGGACCGCGTGAAGGCAGAGGAAGCGGCTGAGGAGAACAAGGCGAAGCTTTGAGGTGGAACCCCGACAGCTCTCAGGTTTGTTCCTCAGTGCAATCCTTTTTTTTGTCATATACGAGTCGATCATTCGATTATATAGCGAAATTTCCTTGAAGGCGGAGAAAACATGCCAGATGTCAATCCTAATCTATCCCACCAACTCCAGCCGTCCATTGTCATTGGTAATCCGCTCATTCAACCACGCGCGATTACGAACCCATCCGCCCCTTCCATCATTCAGTTCCGCCTCGATGTATTCACCGCCGTCGACAATGCGGATCTCCCGGGCACTGGCGGCGAAATTCCCGCCGCGGGCCCAGTACAGGTGGCCGTTGGAGTTGGTGAAGCAGTCGTTCAGATCGAGCGTCGAGTAGCGCCACTGGCCCTGGACGTCGGCGCAGTCGGCGACTAAGGTGCTATGGCCTTCGAGGCGGACGTGTTGGGAGCTCGCGTGGAAGTTGCCGGCGGGAGGTTCGCTGTTGAGTGATTGGTGAGACGAGAGAACAGGAATCAGAAGGACTTGTCGGGGAACGAATGAATTAATGTAGGGGAGAATCGCGGTTTCATGGATTTTCTATAGAGCTTTTCACCAAGAGAATCGTGGTACATGAGAGAGAGAGAGAGAGAGAGAGAAAGGAAACGCAGGCCGTTGAAATGACTTTTCCAAGAAGTAAAACTTGTGTCAGGCTTACTAGTGGTGATGATGGTGACGGCGGTCGTCGTCCGACGAATCACTGCTGTCGGAGCTAGAAGAGCCCCGTCGGGAATGGTGGTCACGGTGCTTCTTTTCCTTCTTCTCCTTCTTTTCCTTTTTGTCTTTCTTCTCCGGCTTCGATCCACTCGAGTGCTTCTTCGCAGCATCTTCGAGCAGGGACCCCGCAATGGCGCCTCCGATACCGCCGATGATGCCGTGGCCACCCATCTTATGCCCACCGAAGGCGCCCGCTGCACCGCCTGCCATGGCTCCTAGAAGACCGCGATCCCCTTCGGCGGGGTTGAGTCCAGCACCAGGTGGGTAGGGCCCGCCGACGGGAGGATGAGCATTGCTTGGCTGGTTGTGGTAGGAATTATTGCCTTGGTTTTGGCCGTATGGTGGATATCCCTGCTGCGAGGGCGGACCACCATATCGTGATTGCTCGCCACCGTATTGTTGTTGCTGTTGGCCATACTGCTGAGGTGGCTGGCCGTACTGATTATGCTGCTGGTAGCCTTGGTTGTGCTGATCGTGGGGCTGGTTGTGTCCATAGTAGCCCTGTGCTTCACCTGGTCGTTGTTCGCCGCCGTAGCCGGATTGGCTGTAGCCTTGAGGGCCACCATGTGTATTGTATTGTGGCTGGTTTTGACCTTGGTTGCCGCCGTACTGCGACTGCTGGTACTGATCATTGTAGCCTTGGTTGCCGCCGTATTGCGACTGTTGTGGGTAGTTACCGCCAGGACCTCCGTATTGCGACATATTGAGGAACTTCTGTTGTGAGGATGTGCTGTGTGAAGGGAGTCGGTTTGGCGCGCGTCGACTGTAGGGAGCCGTACGAGAGATGAGGATAGAAGTGGTGAGAGCTATGCGACGAGGAGATATGAATACGCGGAGGTAGGTGAGAAGACGGAGAAATGTATCTCAGCATATATACATGGAGTGATCTACGTAGGCAACACAAGTACAACACGGGCGGGCATGTGTTGATCTGTTTCGTCAGCAAAGTCGCCCGCATCAATCTGACAGCTGTGGTTTGTTCACTGTATGCCGCTCCCAAGCAGCCTAGGAGTGAGTGTACAGCCCAGGCGTACAGCACTATGATGGAGTGATGATCATTGCGGCGGCGTGTGACGACGGACTTGCACAGCCACAAAGTGAAGAGGCGAGGGCCGAAATTTGCATTCCGCAGGTGCGCCCAGGTGGCAGTGGTTATGTGCCCAGGTGGTAGTGATTTAGGTGTTTAGGTGGTGGTGATGAACAACAATCATGACCTCCAGGGCTCGTGGCGACCACTTCAGGGATCATCGGCGTTTCCCGGTCGAGCTCCCTTTGGACAATGCCCTCTTACCGAGGCGATAGGCGAGATCGTCAATACCTACCTAGGTACGTAGGTAATAATAGATCAAAAGACGTAGCAATCGATGTCTACTGGACGAGGCGGCAGGTGCGAAAGGTGTTGTTGTTATCATCACAGCCCTGGAGTACAGATACACACTGAAGTAATAACTACCTACTGTAACTCAGGCAGGTGGGCAGGCAGTGGCAGTTGGCAGGCTCATCAATTCCCCCCCTCCAACGCTGCGTGACATCAACTTTATGATGGAGTGCCGTGCCCCGCTTCATCAATGATAAACGCACCAGTGTCAGGAGAATGGATGATTCTTCCTGGAGCATTTTCTCGTATCATGACAATGCCACTTGGGACACTTACGTCCCACCCGATGTGCGACTGAGCACCTCCGTCACTCAGCCACCTTCCACGGTCGCCCTGATCCTGATCCTGCTCGCTACACGTTGTCATCATTCCGATACTGTATACCTCCTGCCTAGTAGTGGTAGGTACTGTATGGACGGACACACCTGCACCTTTACATTCTGCTGCTGCGGCTGGCCTACCAGTGACATGCCTGTACAGAGCACAAGATGAACCCCGGGAGGATGCAGCGAGATCTATGTGTGCCTCAGGCTATCCATGACTAATCTGCGCACTCTGTTCTTCACGGATAACCACAATATTGTTCCCCAGCTCCGGAGAAGTCCACACGGACGATGATCTGGAGTTGGATCACGCATACATTCGAGCAACCTTGATCATGGGGACATCGGTGATGCTAGTCCTTTCAATTCTCCCACCAGCGCCAACACCACAATACCCGCTATGGACATCGAGAGACTGCGCCAACCGATAAGACAATCCGCCTTCTGGAATCCGACCACCGTCTTGTACCTGGAGGCCTTGTTGGCCTTCGTCCTCATACGCCTGATCTTGTACGCTCATGAAGAGGGTAACTTCGATCGATTCGAACGCGAGTCTCCGTCATGGTTCGTCACGAAGTTCTCACTGATTTTTGCGTTCTTATTGTGCCTGGCCTTTCAAGCGCTGCTCTAGTCGCGTTTCACGGGGTCGCTGCAGCCTGGGTGTAACGAAGTGATCATGTCGGCTCAATGTTGTGTAACATGCATTTCAAGCCCTTAAAGATAGGTCTTCCAATCCTTCCACCTCATCGGCCGCCATGCTTCCAGCCGCAATGGACCCGTCCCAACACGGCCATGACAGCGGCGAGCCTGTGTCAGCACAGACAATCACGATCCCGATCAAGTTCGAGGAGATATCTTGCACTATTTGTGGAAATTTCCAGCTCTTACGCGAAACGAGCAACACTGTGGTTGCTCTTTTGCATTTGGATCATGCTTCCTCGAACCAAATTGCAAGATTCAGGGGGGTCACTGGGTATGACAGCGATGCGCATGAACAGCCCGGTAACCTTCACAAAACAACCACATCGGTGACAAAAGTCATTGTCAAGAGCTTCAAAGACGTTCAGGTGTTTTCCGACGAGGTCGAGGCGTACAGGAGGATGCGCAGCATCCAAGGGACCATTGTGCCAGACTTTTATGGGCCCGGCGAAGTTGACGGACTCCCTTCTATTGTGCTAGAGTATATCGTCGGGTATGACCTCTGCACGTATCAGACCACTCTGGAGAACCTGCCAAAACTCGCTAGAGCAGTCGAGAACTGCTCGGTAGCCATCGCGAAATGTGGAGTTGTTCAATGGGATCCCAGGCTAGACGGTGTAATTGTGGTCCGGCCTCCGACTCCATGGTTGACTATCAAGATGATTGATTTCTCTCACGTCGAGTTTGACAAGAGTTTCGCCATTGGGATGAGCAAAGGGGGCAGCAATTTCCTCATTAGACGATATGCCGAGCTCATGGGCTGGTCATGGTCTATAAACGCCAAGGATTATTGAGCATTGCATGTTACAAAAAGCAATAGTTCGGAACAAGAACGCCTCATTGGTTTCGAGGCCTTTATGGGTCAAATGCGGCCGTTCGCGCGATCGTAATACTATGCAAACATGGCACAATGAACATTTTTTGATGCAGATGTTCGTGCATGTGGGGCCAGTGCGATATTTACGCCTTCACGACCTGGTGGTATGAGGGCACCCACTGTATGGTCAGTTACTATTCGTGGTGTGTCGAGGCGACTTGGGAGTCAACATTACATTTCATCACGGGTCAGCTGTGTGGATGCTGTAGTCCCCTGTGTGCAACGTTGCAAAGGTGGCAAAGGTTACTGGAATGTGCCCCTCGCGCATGCATCTCGTCACCAACATGGGTGGCTGGAATCATCGATCGAGGTGGATTCTGCCATGCACGTTGGACTTAGACCATGGCAGTATGAGTCGAGCGAGTTCAACAGCTATTCGAGCGTCGAGGGCGCGGGCGCTTCTGGATAATAGGTCATTATCGTGATGCAAGGCCATCACGCGTATCCCAGGCGACAGGGCGGTTCGACGTTGTGTAACCCGCAGGCTTGGCATTCCACTCTCTTCACAACAACCAAACAGCTAGGTTCCAAGAACGATCAGTCTACTTCTCGGAGCAAGCACCGATGTTCTAACCGCTGATCTTTTGCCTCTCAATCCGGTCAAGGAGCTTGATCATAGAAACCACAAGTCGGGCCGATCACATGAACAAGTTCTACCGCAGCTGCAAGCAAGGTGGCCGCATATCAAAGACGAGATCTCCAACAAAGGACTCGCCATGTATCATGCGAAGTAAACGAGGAAGCCGCTTGCCGGTAGCTCGGCATATACATGTTGCCACGACCAATCACTCCAGTTCGGGGCATCATACTTCCAAGCTCGTCGCCAGCGATCACTCCTAGTGATTTTCCGGAAAGCCGCTTGCAAGGTTGCGTATGGGCCCTGGTCGAAGACGTGGACGGTATCGCCACGACACTTGTGTACGTGCCGGGCTTGAAAAGCCCTTGCATCAATGATTGGACCCACCCATGATGTGCGCTGGACGACTCGTCATGAACATATCGACGCTGATGGCTTTTGGGAAGTCTTTGTGTGACGGATGCTGCAGATTGCATCCAACATGAATCTACATTCGTCGATGCATGAGATAGAGACCGGGTTCATCGCACTAGAACGTGCTATTCACGCTACACAAGCTCACGCTTCTGCAAGGCTCCCTGATAAATCACTATCACATTCTCAAAAGGCCGGCTAGATTCCTGCTTGGTTTGATAATTCACCTATTCGGACTCCACGGACCTTGTGCGTACAGTGCATGTCCGTGAGTCCTGGTGGATGCAGTGTGGTCGAACGGGGATGTCCTGGGGCATTGATGATCGGACTTGCTCGATGGCTGTCATTGAAACAAATAAATATGAGCAGCTCAACCCGTACGGAGGATTTTGTTTTCCGTCCAGAGACATACCTGTTCTCGACAGCTCGTCTTACTTTCATCATGGCGCCGATGGCATTGAGCCAGTTCTTGCAGCGACGAGTCCCCCCTAACTCGCATCCGAGGTATAGCGCCGGGCACCCAGGCATGACCGAGAAGGAATGGGCGACGCGACAACAAAAATTTGCGATCAGGTCGTGGACGGTCTGCACCTCGCTTAACCAATTCTTCGAAGAACCTCTCGCAGCTGCGGATGTCAATCGTCTCACCAAACAAGTTGACTACGAAGATCATCAACAATGGTGTATTTCAGAGGGGATGGTGGAGATAAGTTTCGCGGAAAACATCGTTGCGCCGCTCAAGAACGCTTTCCACGATTCTCCCTTTGTACATTTCGCAAATAAGCACCCTCATTCCGGCCCTCCGCCTGAAGGCGCTAGGAACAACGGGGTTATTGATTGGCTCTTCAGAACGATAGGCTCAGATGCGACCAATCCGACGCGTTGGCTCTGTATTGGCGATATGAAAGGACCGCGAATAATCAATAATCGACAATGGGCCGGCGGAGATTTCAATACCTTGACTGGCCCTACTGTCCATCTTATGCAGGAGCTGAAGGGGTAAGCCCAGTCCAGACCACGAGTTGTCATCTGCCCTATCTAACAATGGTGCAGTTATGCTTTTCATTACCGTGTACCTCGGGTCTTCTGCTACGATGCTGATCATCTTGTTCTCATACGCTGGAAGAGCCTCGACCTCAACGAAGCGCCGAACGTAGTAGTCATAGCGGTAGGAGGCAGCAATGGCATGCAAGTTCGTGAAGCCATGTATCGCATGGTGTGCGACGGCCTCAACCACGAGATACGTGGACCACGAATTTGCGATTGACGCGTTGTCTCTCAACGTGTGGATGGGAACCCGCCATGGCTGTTGCAGCTCTACAATCATATGCTCATAGGTATATCAGCGCGCCAATATGATTGTGCGCGGGTTACAAGGCAATCATCAATATGGACCTCATCTCCACTGCAGATAGGACATTCAAATGCACTTTCGTTACCGCCCGTGCTCGTAATTGATTCGGTGGAGATGGGGGTGTAACCCTGTCGGCGGTTCAAAAATGATTACATACCTAGATATTGAAGCCTGAGGGAAGTTTTCAAATTATCAAGGCAGCACGCTGGGTTCACAGGAGTGTGAGGCGCGCACTGAAGTTCTAAACCGCACGCTCTGAGATCGAACCGACAGAACTGCGTGCATTCCACGTACCCATCCACCGAAGTCCAGAAGGAATGGGATCTTGAAATGTACCTAGGTATGTGAGCGGAAAATTGTGGCGCATCAGGCTTGTGTAACCTTCGTGCTTGGATGATGACACGATTTATCTCGCACAAGCGCCGGGAGAAGAGGCCAGCAGAGCAACGCACCTTTTCACAAACGCATTTGCTCGCGACCGGCAGGCGATTGCCAACACTTATATGCCTGTAGCACTCCGCCTCCAGTCTGCTCCAAACGACTTTTCAATGAGACCCCTGTGAGTATCACCATGCCCTTGGGTCTTGAAACTCGTTGCAAGCACACAATTACAACTTGACATCACTAAAACAGTCATTTGGGATCCAACAGCAATGGACTTATCCCAGGACAGCTCCGACAGCGGCGGGAGCGTACCATCAAAGCCGACTTCATTCACGATCGCGTATGAGGCGAGACAACGCGTCATCAGAGGACATCTTCAACTGTTGCGTGATTCGGAGATCAGCATAGTGAAGCTTCTACACCTTGTGCCCGCTTCCAGGATCGAAATGGCAAAGTTCCACCGTGGTACTGGGAGAACAGCCCGTCCACAGAGTCAACTCAAGTTCTTGGACACCAACGATAGCGACGAGAGCGATGACGGTTTGCCAGAAGTCTCTGTCGTCTCTGTCGTCTCGCGTCACGATTTTGCTGTCAATGATGACATGAAGGAAGACATAACGTCGACAATGCCGACGAAGCTCATTATCAAGAGCTTCAAAGACGAAGTGTTTTACGATATCGAAGTCGAAGCATATAGAAAGATGAGCAACATCCAAGGGACTGCTGTACCAGAATTCTATGGTACTGGAATGCTCAACGGTCTGCCAACGATTGTACTAGAATACATTGCTGGTAACGACCTCTATTCGTATCAAAGTGATATTCAGCGGCTTCCGGCACTCGCTAGAGCTGTCGTAGGTTGCGCACGGCTGGTTGCGGAATGTGGAGTCGCACAAATGGATCCAAGACTCGATGGCATCCTCGTGACGGACTCTCCAGGATTGACGGTCAAGATGATCGACTTCTCTCACGTCGATTTTGACACATTCTACACGTCGAGCGTCAATCAGAATAACAGCTATGAACTCATGTCGCTCTACGCTGAATTGATGGGTTGGGAAATGCCTGAGGATGTCTCGACTTGGTGATATCGCATGTGCTGGGATCGAAAGCTGCGCGACGACGATTCTTCTGGTACCCAGGTCAAATTCCACCCTGATGAAAGTGGTCGAAGTCAGGATTAGATTTGCTGCAATACTTTTGGTGTGAGAAATCGATGTTTGAGACCTTTCCGATGTCCTCTGCGGGAGTTATATAATGAAGGCAATGTAAATTAAGTCAGGACGTGCTGGTTTATCGGCGTGTGTAAAATTGGATTTGCAGCAAAGCACGCCTGGAATGTGCACGTCGTACAAGACCGTCTCTTGTCAAACGCGGGTGCCTGGAATTCGCGCCTGTGCTTTCAAGGAAGTGAACAAATGTGTAGGAAGCTCACATGTTTCTGCGACATTTTTACCTTTATGTCTAGGAAATACCATCTTCTCATCACCGAACTGTAAGCGTCGACTTGAGACAATCATGCTCACTTCTCTCGACTCGTCTGGCGGAAGAACGACCCAAGGCGAATGCGATACCGACCTGGGCGCGGCAGTAAGCATAATCGCGATTGATCATGAGCTGCATTCTTGCGTCGTCCAAGGGTACATTCAACTATTACGCGAGACAGACTTCACTATAGTCTCCCTTCTCCACTTGGTGCCGACATCCTCGCTTGAAGTTGAAAGTCTCAATAGCAGCATCGAGCAAGAGATTCATGCACAGGACCATGCACAGGATCAACTTGATAGGCTGGACAAGAATTCTGCCTCAGCAAAGCCGACAAAGCTCATCTTAAAAAGCTTCAAAGAAGAGTGGCTTGTCGCTCGAGAAGTCGAGGCGTACAGAAGGATGCGTAGTATCCAAGGGACTATTGTACCGATACTATATGGATGTTGTCTAGTTAATGAACTTCCAACAATCGTACTGGAATTTATTGCCGGCGAGGACCTTGTCGCTTACGAATGCGATCGAGACCAATTGCCTATGCTTGCCAGAGCAGTCGAGCATTGCTCAACAGCAATCTCAAAGTTCGGGGTTATCCAAATGGACCCTCGGCATGACGGCTTGATTGTGACGGACTCATCGAAGCTGGAGGTCAAAATGATAGACTTTTCTGATGTCGATTTCGACAAGCATTATACATCGAGTATGAATCGATGCAGCAGTCACTGGCTCATGCAAGAATACGCAAAGCACAGGCGCTGGACGATGCCTGAAGACGTCACGAGTTGGCGATGATGCAGTAGCATGTACTGAAGAACGGAAGCCCCTTCGCAGAAACTATGATCTTGTGCCCTGGACAATATTCCGATGCGGGTTTCGCGGTCCTGATGAGATCAAAGCTGTGTGTACGTACAGTATGTGCCACGACAAATTTGGAGAGAATCTTCGAGGACTCGAAAGAAGTCTTTTTCCATATGCAGTGCACTGTGTAGGAGATTCAGATGGAAGTATCTTCAAGGAGTAACAATGCCTTCGCGATGTCAATTTTCAAGATGCAAGAATCTCGAACGGCATCGCTCAGGGACGCGCGAGAGAGAACCGTTGGTTCATGAAACGTCTACAGCCGCTAGAAAGAAATCGATGGTGTCCCCGTCTCCGGCTGTATGTAAGAACTATTCCTGGCCACGGGAATGCCCGTCGATACGAGGGAGGGCTGCTACTTGCAGCGATTGAATTGTGGTTGCGATGCTACAATGCCCTTCTCACGACGACACCGAACAGCAATTGAGCATGCCATTTTCAGCACTGCACGCAAGGAGGAACAAACAGTCGATAGTTGTTAGGGAGATGAATGTGCAACTGTATGCCCTCGGCAATAGGTTGTGGTGGCTGGATTCACCGAACCTCGTTTCACAGGGCAAAATTCACACAGGAGTCCCCTGCGCGCACGCACCTTCCGCTTTCAGCGAGAACCTGTGACGTCAAATAGCGACAGGCATCTGTAGACAGACGAAACGTGTGCCATTCGCCTAGGCATTCGATCTTCTACTATGCTTAATAGAACGATTACTACAGCCGTTTATGATCTATGTAGAATCCCATGTAATACATATGTCCATGACAAGGTAGATAAGGCATGTGACATGGCCTGGAATTATGACAGATTTCGAGATTTGAAACAGAGAAGTGTTATGGCGATCCGTGCGTGGTCAGGTCAGCTTATGCACGATGATCTACCCCTTCATCGTCATCATAATTTATCATCGAAACACGCGCGATCAATTTTGCAGCTTGGGAGAGGGGTCGATGATTATGCGAATGTTCCATTTTCTCCAAGTCCTTGAAGTACAAATCAGATCTGCACTCGTACTGCGGGCGTGCATGTGCGCGGTGTATGATTTGTTATTACCGTCGGCCAACATAAGGATGGGGATGCTGGACGTAGGAAGTCATACCTAAATAGCTACTGCAGGCGGGAGAAAGGTTGGCCGCGCGCACAGTCTGCCTGCCACGCCTGCGACGAGCGGCAAACCAACTTTGATTCGCCAGCGCCTTCTTCCAAGGTTCGCCTCTGCATATGCGGGCTGTGGTTCATTGCGGTGGCTAAGCTCTCTCGTCAGCTTCTGAACCATCGCCCATCACTCCTCGTTCATCAATCGTCACCATTGTCTTCTCTGCTGCTGCTGTACTCCCACTTTCTACCAACACCACCAACCACCAACCACCTCCCAACAACAGCGCGTGCTCCGGTCTTGTTGGGCGCATTCTCCTCCGATCGCCCCTCTCTGGTCTCTGGCGTCCTCTCACACCTCCATTCAAACTTCCTCTCGTCTTAATAATCGTAAATCACATCTTCAATCGACCAGACCACCTCACATACACATTCAGACCGATTTTCATTGTTTCGCCGCTATACGCCTACAGTGCCAACCTTCAGTACCAGTGGAAGTCAACATTGCCATGTGGTCATGAGACACTCCCGAGCTCTATTCCGGTGAAAGCACGTTTGGCTCTTGCACTATCCTGTACCATTTCCCAAGGCAAGCCGTCTTGCCACACGAGCATCCGCAGTACCAAGCTACCCTCCTGTACCATTCCCACGCAACTCAGGGCTCGTGTTTCACTTCCAAAAGTTTTTTGCTCATTCGACATCCGACTCATATACATTCGTTTTTCTTTGCACGCGATCTACTCGTCGTCGCCGTCGCCGTCGCCGTCGCGGAATCTGGCGTTGTAGTGTTCGTCGACGACCATGTACAACTCCGGCCTGTTGGCGACGCTCTGCCTCACATCAGCGCTCGTTGTGTCGTTATGCAACGGCGCTGCACACATCCTTGACAACGGCCGAGCATCCCGACCGTTGACAGACGTCAATCAACGTTCGATATCCGACAGTCTCAGCGACTCGTCATTACTACGTCGGGCTAGCAGTCCCGCCAATGTCTGCCTCAGATGGGCCCAACAATGTAGGTCTCTATGCTTAACAGCCACGGCTTTCGAAGCTTCGGGAATGATGCTGATCGGCTCTGCTCATCAACAGCCGCGATTGTGAACGGGAGTCTTTATTTGTACGGAGGTCAGGCTACAACACAGCCATCACAAACGACCGATACCTGGAACAACAACTTTCTCAGCCTGGATCTCACCAAGACCTGGCAAATTTCCTCGCCTGCCTTGACGGGTCTGCCACAACCTTCGGGTCCGCCCAGTGTTGCATTGGGCTACCTGTGGCACTCTCGCGATTCACTGTACCTTTATGGTGGGCAGTTCGAATGGAAACCCTCGCGCGGCACCGTCACCCCAGTGCCATTTGCCTTGTGGCAATACGATGTCCCATCAGCATCATGGAAGCAACACAGTAACCCACTGACGTCTGGCGGCGTGAACGCACCGAGCAACAATGCACCAGTACAACGTGCTGCCGAGGGAGCTGGCGTTAGCGTCCCTTCGCTCGGACGAGGTTTTTACTTTGGTGGTCACCTTGATGCTTATACGACTCCGGGCTGGTCGGTGACCATCGCTCGAGTCTACTTGCAATCTCTTCTCGAGTACACATTTCCTGGCGTCCCTAATGATCAGGTTACCTCTCTTGCTAGTGGTCAAAAGGCCGGCGCAGATGGAGCTTATCGAAACATCACCGTTGGTGGTCTCCAGTCGCAAGCAGGGTTCACCAACCGCGCTGATGGCCTCTTGCTATACGTTCCCGGTTTCGGCGACCAAGGCATCCTGCTGGCCTTGGCCGGTGGCACCAACCAGACTTTTGTAAGGATTAATCTCTGCGATCGTTTCGAGGAAGGCATCTCCCTTACTGACACGTCATAACACAGACTCAAATGAACAGCATCAATGTATACGATATCGCCAAGAGTAGCTGGTATACTCAATCGACATCAGGACCAACTCCGAACATTAGAGTCAATCCATGTGCCGTCGTTGCTGCTGCCGCCGACGGAAGCAGCTACAACATCTACATGTTTGGAGGACAGAACTTGATTCCTTACGGACAGCAGGTGCAATACAACGATATGTGGATTTTGACTATCCCTTCTTTCACCTGGATCAAGGTCGACCAAGACGGACAGTCCGTCCCATACGGTCGTGCCGGAGCGACTTGCAATATCTGGAATGGTCAAATGGTCATGGTCGGTGGTTACGTCGGCGACGAACTCAGCTGTGATAGTCCTGGTGTCTATGTGTTCGACCTCAGCACTTTGAAGTGGATGAACCAGTACACCGCTCTAGATGCTGGATCTAATAATGCGTAAGTCGACACGTAACAAGCACATTTTCTGTGACAGGGATTATACTAATCAGCTTTCCCTCATTCAGATTTAATCAACAAGCTGCACAGGTTGCCAATGCCACAAACCCGGGCGGTCTGGAAGGATCCTACAACTATCAAGTGCCAGATGCTGTCATAGCTGTCATTGGTGGTAACAAACTCGGTGGCGCGACCATCACCGCGCCTGTCGCTTCTGCAACTGAAGGTCCTCTCGCGACCGGCAAACCAACCACTTACACCGTCACAAACCCTGATGGGTCCATTGCAACAGGTGTCAGTGGAGCCGGGAACGGCGCAAATGCTTCACCCTCGAACAACACTCCCCGTACCGCTGCCATCGTCGTTGGTGTCATCGCCGGCATTCTCCTCATACTAGCCGCGTACCTCGCCTTCTGTGCCTACATCTACAGGAAACAATTGAAGCTCTACAAGCAACACGCCGAGCTCCTCCAGCAGCAGCAACACAGCCAACAACAAGGTCTCGCCGCGGCTGCTGGCGCCGGCTTCCTCGCCAAATCCTCCTCGGAAAAGTCACCCTCCCATCACCGCCTCTCGGGCTCCAACATCGTTATGAGCCGCAACTCCGAAATCGGCAGCTTCCACAGCGGTGATGATCTGGCGCCAGCGATGACAACGACTACCGCGCCTGGAGGTTATCACAGCCTTCTACCCGCTACGGCAGGGGCAACAACGGTGAAGAGGAGGAATAGCCAGGACAGCGGCGTTGAGGATCTGTTATCCGCGCACGAACCTACATTCGTCGGTGTCATGTTGCATCCTCGAAGAAGTCTGCGGATCGTGAATCGCGACTGATTCGGCAGAAACCGGACGGACTGCATCGTTTTGTATGAGGCGACGAAGGGACGGTATAGAGTTGTGGGGTCGGAGGACGAGAAGGAGATGTATATTTTAATGTCAAAATGGAAGAGAGCGACATGATGCCTCGAGGACAGGAGACGTGGAAGGGGTATGCACAATGCCTCAGACCATGCGGTAAAATCCCGGAGAGGCAGGCGTCGCAGATGATGTCGATGTTGACCGTGATGGACGTTTCTGTCCTTCGTCCGTCACCGAATTATTTGAAGGTGCGTTGAGTATACGAGCATAGCGAAGGCGTTTGGGAGTCGATTTGTCGTTTTTTGTGTGCCAGTGACTGGGCCATGGAGACGATGTAGCGCTATCCATGCGGATTATTTTTAATACATAATCGAAAATTGATTGTCGCGCACTATGTCGGTTCCGTCTTTGACCAGGGTTGAAAGCTCTCCCATACAAGAAAGATAATGGACAAGGAGCACGGGAAAAAGTTCGGTTTACAGGCGACTACGGTATTGAACAACAGTGTTGACTTTGGCGCTGGAGAGGGGCATGACTGAACACCTACATGATGTATACTAGTGAAACCTACTGTGAGTGCAACCTCATCTCACGTTCGCAGGCCATGCCGGACATGACCTTCGAACGAGGTGATATCGCATGGTAAGAATATTCTGTGGGCGAGAGAGCGAAGCATGTACGTGTCGAAGATGATTTTCGGATCGGGGAAGCGCGCCCGATCAGCGATCTAGAGGGATAAATCTCGGAGAATGTGCTGCTGCGACGGTGTATAGTGGCTTATCTGAGGGCGAAAGGGGATGGAGTGATCGGCTAGGGCGAATTGCGATTTTATTCGGGCTTCGGATCGGTTGACGAACAAACGGTAATGGGTGGAGAAGCGGGCTTCATTTCGAGGCGCATCGTGGGACGGAAACGAGGGAGCGGATCGGGGATGTTTTGATGATTCGAATCGTATCGTATCGTGCGTATCGAGTCTGTACCGATACTGTGGTTAAAGATTATCTTAGTCCTTTCTCATGTTCGGTGTCATTTCGGATGCAAGTTTCGCATTCGAACTTGGTCGTGATGCTGCTGACATGACGACCGCTTGTCACAGCGGGGACAAGATTGGATACTCGAGGAGCACAACCGCAGGCTTGCGGCGGGATGCATTGATCGGGGGATTGATAGCACTGTCGAGAGCAGGTCTGTGCGAATTCCGACCATCCATTACTCCGCCGTATCAAGGTCGTCATGTGTTGGAGGAGCTTCATCGTTGCCTGTATATCAAAGGTCAGCGACACGGTCGTTGGTGTGAGCATTGGACCATTTGCTTACCCTTGCGAGGCTCGCCGTTAGTGCGTTCAGCGTCAGCATCGTTTTCGCGCTCTCGGTCGGCATCGCGAGGTGAGGCGTCACGGCGGGGACGCTCGTCTTCACGTTCACGGTCCTTTGTATCGCGCTCACGATCATCGGGACTGCGAGAACGATCGCGATCGCGGCGATCACGGCCACCACGGTCGCGATCATCGTATCGGTCGCGTTCCCGCTCGTCATCATACCGGCTTCGACGTGCGGGGCTGCGCGAGCGACCACCTCCTCGGGGTGAGCGTTCGCCACCGCGACGGCCGCCGTTGCGCCCTGTGTCGAATCGCCAGCTGGCTGAGGGAGGTGTTCTCGCCCACTGTTCCGGATCAGCTCAAGTCAACGACTGCAGTCACAGGAATGAAAGCGCTCACCTCAATCTTCAAGACGTCATCACGCCCAATGCGCTTGTTGTGCATCTCGTAGTAGGCGTCATCGGAGTCACGACGATTTTCATATTCGACAAAGGCAAAGCTGCCAGACAATTAGCAACGTACATGGTAGCTCGACGAGGTGAACTTACAGTCTGCTGCTCGCAGTGCGTGGAGCTGGAATATCGCAGCGTACGAGACGGCCATATCTGATGCTTATTAGCATGACGTTCTTCATTGATGCGTGGCTATCCCAGGCAGTATCTCGGCAGCTTCGGATTATTTGTGCCGACAAGAACTTACCTCTCGAACTCGTACGCTAGGTCGCGCGCCCGGGTCCCTTGACCGAATCCAGTCACGTAGAGAGTGGTTGAACCTCCTCGCGACATAATGATCGTTGCTCTCAGCAGAGTAAGCTTGAGTGGGTGTGTAGTTAAGTGAGGTTGTTGTTGTCAGGTTTGAATGTTTGGAGTGTTGAATTGAGTTCCAGAGTGACGAATGACGAAGAGCTCAGTGATGAGATGCATAAGAAAACATTGCTTGGCATGCCGGATTGACGGGAACCAGCCGGAAATGGCAGCTTTCAGCCCTACCAACCCATGAAGTCACCGTGATACATACACTGATGCAGCTCACAAATGATGTTGGCTCGCAGTCGTCAACATCCAGTGCATGGTCAGGCCTGGAACATGTTCACCATTGTATTGACTTATGAGCTTGAGACAATAGGTATGAAAAAACGCAATGACAGACAACGCCAACGCTGGTGCCGTTTGCCTTTGCAAAGCCGTCGATCAAGCCGGACGGAACACATGGAGAATGCGTATCATAGTATTTATCCCGTGTCTTTGTTATTGTGAGATGACCTGAAAATGTATCATGTCCAGTGCCGTGGCGACACCTATAAGTCTACGTTATTCGATCACAGAGTACATGTATGGCGGGATTTGAAAATCGTCGTGTTCGAGAGCACCATGGGCAACGATAGCAACTCAAGCCTTAGGGTTGGGTTTATCACCGCATCGCCGTTGAATGCCTCAGGCACCAAGCCCTGCTGGGCGATCAACGCGGCTTGGCATGAAGCCGCTGTTGAAGCCGCGCGCGCAAAACGCGTCCTCTAGATGGTCGCATTACTCGACGCTTGAAGAGACAACATTGTGCTTTGCTGGACTCGCGCCACGACCAACATCACGGGAACCACCATGTCCGATCCCTCGACTCGTGTCGCTGCGCAGCTGCGACCGCATCTACATCTGCTTTCCGTCCATCGCTATCCTACGATACACCAACTTCAGCTTGAACAGGCATTCCTCTACCTCCGCGATGCGCCGTCCATCGTCAAATCTGTCGCGCCGATGTACTGGTCGTATGTCTCAACACCCGAGGATGGCAGTATCCGACTTGAATGGCTCTCACAAGATAAAGCGGACGCCTACCCATCCGACGGCTACGTTTGGGCCGATCCCGAATCGACTTATCGACATGAATATGCCGGGTACACCATTGAGTTGCGAATGCACCAGCTCGGCTACATCCCCGGGCACGAGCATGTCACCAAACATGCGCGGACGCGATATCACATCGTGGCAAAGAATCCCGTCCTAAATGCTCAAATGCCGGATCCTTCGCTATGGATTGTACACTACCATCCCGTCGACCCTAGCCGCTTCCTCAGTGTTGCGCAAATCCCAATGATGCCGCACGTGGGCCAGATACTATCTCAGCGTCGGTGGTTGGAAAGCCAGGGCCGTCTGGAGCAGGAGAAGTTCATGCTGCACGACAGGGAAAAATGGCCGAGCGTGAATTTGCCGGGTGCACCCAATATGCAGCAAGGCGTTTATGCAGCAAATCAAATGGGCGCCATGCAAATTCCCAATAATCGATTCCAGCAGCCGCCATTTCCACAGCAAGCGGGTGGTCCACCAAACAAGAGACCGCGCACACAAGGCCCGGGAGTACATCCAGCCCCTGGTGTTGTCGAGATGGTGCACCAGGGCGCCACGATTGAAGACGAGGAGAACACCTCATACGGCGATTACTTCGATCATCTCACTCCACGCGACATCAGCCTGGCCAGATATATGCAGCACCACCGCTGGATAGAAGAGGTTTTCTCCTCGCCCTACGCAACAAGTCAAATCGTTCCTCCCGATTTGGGACTAGGATTGATGGGAGAACTCAAGAAATTGACCGATGGAATTCTAGCTCCGCCCAGCATAGACTTGTCTGAGCGGGATGACAAACGACCTGCAAAACCAGAAGAGGCGAAAGCGTTCACTAACCTTAAGAAGGAGCAAGTCGATGAATTCAGCCAACGAGTTGACAAGCACCTGCAGGAGGGCCAAGCAGAGTTGGAGAAGATGAAGGCAGAACACGCAGAGAAACTGCGCTCGTGGAAATCTCTCAGTAGCCTTGCTCAAGCAGACCAGAAATTGCGGTTGGCTACATGGTCAGGCCACACAAATGCCGTTCCTACCTTTCGCTTTGAGCAAGTCGAGAAACAGACCAGCAAACACACTGTAGAAGAAATTCAAAAAGACGTTGAAGACCTTCTCGGCGTGAAGGTCAAGAAGTACGATGATGCCACGCTCATCGCGCGGGGAGGACTGCGCGACAGGAGGCCAAGCTCTGATGTAGCGTCGGCGACAGACATACGTGCGAACGGGACGACTGGATCACAAGCCGCCGTCCCGACGCATAGCTCGACGAATGCAGGTGCGGCTTCAACATCAACATACCCTTCAACCTCTTCGCAAACTATACAGAATTCCGCTCCGGCCGCAGTCCCGACAACGAGTACAGCGTCGACTGAGACAAGGCAACAACCTATAGACAATTCTAATGCAGGCCTAGTCAACAATGGCAATGTCCTCCACAATGGCAACTCTCTCAACACTGCAACAGTTGGCATCGACGACCTCGATCTTCCCGAACTGGATGACATCGACATGAGTATGGACATGGGTGATTCCGAGGCCCCATTCAGCAGCAACGCACAATCAACGAGCGGTATGCCTCCCGCAGGAGTTCCTGCGAGTCAACAGCTACCGCAAATTACAAACGCAACCCAGAGCAGCACAGCTCACGCGCCCGCGAACACGACGCTTGACGGGAAACCCACGAACGAGCCGGACAATTTCGACGAGCTCGTCGGAAATGATGACGATGGTGGGATGATTGATTTCGGCGGTGGGATGGACGACAGCGCTTTCGGAGATGCGATGCACGGGATGGACGGATAAAATTCCCGAATATCCGTCTGGCTTCTTTCAGGACCTCGGACCTTCTATTCCATGATGTTTGTGTACGATGTGATTCGCAGCGTTATCGATTGTCTGTATAGAATTTTGGTACGCCCGTGTGGGTATTCTTCGGCCCACCGTCGATCTAGCGAACGATGGGTTCGGGGGATTTTGGGCAGAACGTGTGGGGGTGTTGTCAACTTCAAGGGAGTTACGTGGTGCATTCATCTTCTAATAATGAATATTTTCCAATGGGATCATCAAGGTTGCCACAACGGTGCAGAGTCGATGTCGCGCAAGACGATGAATCCTTCCCTGGCGTCACACGCCCAAGATGCCCACTCGTTGCTCAGGGCTTGCTAGACAGTTTTGATAGAATTGGGTTTATCGCAAGACCCTCGCCAGCACATGCTTTGACTAGGCTAACCAATTGAAAAGTTGAACGCCACAAGCCTTGCATGTTGTGTGGGATTTTCGCGACGATGCTTGAAGATACTGGCAATCTATTGTCTTCGTTGTGGACACTTGCAATTGCGCGAATTTTCGACTGCCGAAACGCCAAACATAGCGTAGCACAGCAAATCCCACTGTCCAACCTTCACCCACGTATTTTCCTCGTCTTGTTGACGAGCATAGCGCCAATGCTACTTATGTCATGTTTCCATTCATGGCTACCCCTTGAGATCGTTTACGTGAAGCCCACGGGTCTTTCAGACCACGTGCAGTGGATCTACGACCGCTGGTCGACCATCAAACCATGGCGCGACACGCTCAACTTTCCGACGTGATCTTAGTCCATGATTTGTTTTCTTGTTGAATAGCAGGAGGATCTGCTCTGAGCCGTGTAGCATCTGGCGCGACGCATTGTAAACCGTGAGCAATTTCGTATCATCATGGTTTCCCGCCTAGGTAATGTCGCTAGAACACCCCCAGGGCCGGCTGACTTATTACTCATCCACCGTAGGTGCATCGCGAGAGCGATCGATTCCCGACAGTCAAGCATAAGTTCAAGCTCGAAGCGAGCTCTCGCGTACATGGCAGATGCATGTAAGCCAATGGTCGATATTTCACAACTTCACTCACCGACTTCTTCAGCAACTATTCGGACCATTACGCACTCACAAGCAAGGTTTAACGTCCGGTACTTGCTACACCGAGGTATGGATCAAGCGAATCCTTCGCGTCTTGAGCACGGCTGCTCAACCGATACCTCATATCCACAATTCCTGGTCCATAACGAAAGCACCAGTCACGATTCTCCTTCGATGCTCAGCCGTGGCTGTTCGTAGGCTGTCTTTCCAAAGGCCAGAGCAATTCCTGAATACTGTAGTCTTCGCATTTGCTCTTGGAGTGGCGTTTCTGACACGAAGGCCGTTCTAAATCTGGTATGATAAGCGACCGCCGTGTCGGTAGCACAGGGTTCACGCGTGAAGATTGCTCGTTTGGTCAAGAACAGATGGTGTGTTCTCCGGCTTACTTGTGTCAGCATAGCCCTGGGTATTGAATTCGCAGCAATGATCCAGGTACAGGCTCTGCCATATGCATACAACGACCGGTCTCCTGATGGCTATCGGTGGAAAAGTGATGGACTTATGACACTATCCTGGCAGTTGTTCCGATGCTGTTCTCAATCGATGGCCCAAGAATATGGTGCTAGTCCACGAACGAGCGGCTTCCGGCGATACTACAGTAAAACTTGCCGGGAAGTTAAGTTGATGAGGCGACACACATTGAACGTCATGGTCGATATCAGTAATGACAGCAATTGATGACTACAGCAAGCCACCAGTCCTCGTCCAATGGCATTCCCTGCCGGACGGCGTAGCCTGTAGGCCATCGACGTGCTGGCCCGGCAGCCGGAGATGGAGAGCCTATAACGACCGACTTCTCACCTGACGGGCGGAAAATGCGTGTGCAAGATCCATGTGGTCATAAATCATATACCGCTAGGGCGATGCACGGCTGAGCGCGAATGGAACTGTGGCCGCTGATAGGTGAGATATAATCATTTGGTGGGACTCCTGCGGCCGTCTGATGGCAAACCGACAGGCCTGGGCTGCAGCGCCTTGCTGCAGCATGCAGACGTTGAGATTGTGATATGTCGTCGCTACGATACGATGAATCATGATGACCACGATTGCGGCGTAGTTGCTCTGCGATGCAAGGAGGAAAAGTGCAGGTATTTCTTAGCGAAATATCCTTTCGTTTCTTTCCGCTCGTGCAATAATATCATTATTGCGTTGGCTTTCTCCAATGGCAGAGGCCAGCGGTTGGCGCGATCTGCACAGCTAGGACTATTTAGACCAATGAGCAGGTCGGGTTCGCTACATCCTCGGCATTTGATCGTGCGCTGTGGGCGGGCACTGTGGAGGATGAGAAAAGCACATCAGGTTGCTGAGAACGTCCCTTGTTCAATGCGCGTTCATCACATTCGCAATTTCGTGTATACTTAGGTACCTAGGTATGGTCACGGATGATGCCAGAGCAGAGATACATGTTCAAAGTCAAGGTTCTGTATCGGTCAGATACAGAGCTGACGGCAAAAATTGATCTTGATCAAGGGTTTCAGAGGCTGCTGTTTCGTTGGTAATACTGTTGGAGTTTCAGAAAGCTTCAGCTCCGGGCTGCCCGTGATGGTTAACATTTCTCACGCTATGTGTACAATAGCAAGAGACGCATTCGGAGAATAGCATTCCCGCCATACTGCATCACATACAGTACTATGAAAGCGCGGAAAGACTTCAGGAACAGTTCTCTTACACGCTCTGACGACAAATTTGCAGGTGAAGGTGATCCTCATCCTTTCTCTCGGGCGTGTGCCTTGACTTGCATATGGATCCCGATCCTTGCAAAACGAGTATTTAGTTGCGGATGCTATTGCGCGCTTGCTGTGCCGTCGATGCCAGGATCACGGCTCGCTTGGCGGATTGTTGAATGTCACTATGCTATGTTACTGTTGGTGGAGGAAGTGGTGGCCGTGCCGTCGGCCATCCCGTCGGGTCCTCATTTGTCGAGCGACCAGCCCCGATGTCCTTCAGGGCAGTCCTCGTCGTCGAGGTTTCGACACTTCCCCTGATTGTTCCCACACTTAACAGTTTGACATCCCGCGGAGTGGTGCGTGTATCGATATGGCCGCACTGAACGAGCACATGCGCGATCGAAGTCAGGGAAACAGGATGCGCTTTTCGTGAACGTGTGTCGATGGAGGCCAAAGACAGGCTCCGCGGGTAGAATTGCTGCCGCAGCTGCCACGACAGGGTGGGATTGCCATGCGAGCTTATACGATCCCGCTTGCTCGGACGAGATGTGCGCAGCCGTCAGAATTATCACATGAATAACGGGCGGTCGGCGGGCGATCATCAATCAATCAATCACCATCATAATCTAATTTGCGTTTCCCAATCCTCAGTTCCCAACCGATGATAGCATCACGCAAGGTGTCGATCACACAACGTTCGCTAGAGCCCAGAGTTTATGTAATGAGGACGAACACTTAACGTACCCTACTACCGAGCCGGTCACACTACCGAGCCGGTCAAGTTTCCGTCCAATGTGCCTTTGACGACTTATTGCAATTACAATATTATAGCTATACTAATAACGACACCAGTATTACAAAGTACAGGTTCTACAGTTATGCTCAAATGAACCACATCTACTACACCTGCTTGGTGCTTTTGTACGAGCACGTTTTGGCTGCTCAATTAGTAATGCTGAATCAATATTCTCAGCATTATTCTGCAATTGCTCCGCAACTACCTCGTTCTGAAT